ATAAGCTAAACTCGTAGCTTTATACGCGTGAATTAATTTATGTAAACAGTGAGTTACATTATTTATAGAATAGTAATCTACGCACATGTTGTTATAAATAAAACGAATTAAAAATTAAAACTATATATCCAATGTAAATTAATATTAAAAAGAGGAAAAATTTTGTTTATGGTAGATAATCTCAAAAGTTTCGATTTTTGATCTTTTCAATTTATAGAAAACTACATTATTAGCGAGAAACATAGTCAGTGTTTTACTAAAAATAACTATTCGATGCAGGAGCGGGTTATTAGAATATTTTTTTCTGTGCTATTATTCTATTTTTAACAAATGATATTCCACTGCTAAGCTAAGTTCTCCCTTATTCTATCTGTCATCATATCTAGTATAAAATATATGTAAACTAAAAGTCAAACAATAAAATAAATGGTTATTATGTGTACTATGATCTCTAACATCACTTAGGTAGTATGCTGTCTTAGCCTTATTAGTTCACTTGATTTTAAATAGCTAAACTAATTAATGAAATTTTAAGGGTATATATATATTCAATTAACAATTTAAGCCAGATCTTTTGTCTGAGGACAAAATTTTCCTTAATATAAATCCTGTACTTTCACAATATTTGCATATTGTATGTTAGAATTTTAGGGTTTCATTATGATTGGACTAAAATAATAACGTTGCAAACGAAACAAATTTATAGGACTTTTTTTATACAATAAATGTACTGTAATCACCAAATATACTACAAACTCATGGCCACTTGATTTACAATGACTGGATCTGTTTCACACAAAAGTTCCTGTAATCGTTTCATCTGCTAATGAGGTTTAACCTCTCATGAGGAATTTCGCATTATACTTACTGTAATTGCCTTTTGTGCACGCAAACAATACTGTAATAGTTTTATAGTGAACCGATGACCTGTTAAAGTAGCGTTAAGTGTACGTTTAAGTAATAAAAAAATATTATTTAAACAGGAGTAAAAGGTTTTTACCTCCTACTGTATAGTCTTTTCTATCTTTTACGTCATATTTTTGCTAATTTTTAACCGATTTTGTTATTTTTCCTATTTGATTAGGTCCATAATTTTTATTAATAAATGTGCTGACAGTCTATCTGATAAAAAGTCGTAATCATCACTTATAGAAATTAATATCATAGAATTCGCTATGATGCCCACGATTCTCCTCATGTACTATTCCTGAGAACAAATCCTTCTGTTATCTGTAACTTCATTTCATTTTCTATGTCCTACCCTTTAAACCGAAACGCAATCATGCAAACACAACTACACTTTACGGCAGAAACGAGTAAATAGTAGAGTATACGAGTAGTATTCGTGTTGGTACAATATTAAATTGATCACGACCGAAGTAGTTGTTTTTTGCGAATCTTAAATTATTTTTTACAAATGATTTATTACTAATAAATGTATTTAAATTTGTCAAACAACTCTTTACTATATCGTTGATTTAAATATAGAAGATATGCATATATTTTGCTTTGGAATTTAATTACGACTATGTTATTTATGTAACTGTTATTTGGATTTTTACACGTTTAAATTTTAGATTAGTCCTTTGATTAATGAATTTTAAATGTCATGTTTAACTAATTTTAGATTATTTTTTTATGTATGTTAAAATTTTATTGTATTTGAATTATCTGCGACTAAAAGCATTTTACAGAATATATAACAGTACTTATCATTACAACATTATAAAGCATTTTTCGTTTTTGGTGGAATGTTGGAAAAATTCTCTCTTAGTGCGCACTAACTTTGACGACCTCTGTGGAGCAGCGGTAGGCACATAGATTTGTGTAATGAGGTCCCATTTTCAATCCCCGATCTGGTGCATATAAGAAATGCACTTTTCTAAATTGGATTGGTTCTGGATAGTGCTTAACGTTCTTTGTTTGGTTCCTCTTACCACAGAATATCTCATCTTAAAGATCGGACGATTATGTGGCATTTATATACTTATACTTACTAATTATATAGGTATAAGGAACTCTGCACAAATTTCGGTTTTAGAATCTCTGCCTTAGGTTGCGTATTGCCTATATTTGTGTGAAGTATTTTGCCTGTAAAACAATGTTTATAGCAACTTCATACGTTGCTAGTCTTATGTGAACTGTCATATTTATTTCTAATATTTTACTTAACATGAAACAATCTCCATACTGCTGCTTTATACTACAAATGTTATTACTGCTGCTACAGGCTATATAATATTATACTACTATCAATAGAGAGTCATAGTAAATGCTGTGACCGATAAGGGATGGGCTAAGTGTTACATTAAAATATGAATAGATAAAATTGATTTTTGAAGAAATTAGGACCAGATTTCTCAAAATGGGGCCCATATACTACTCGGAATAAACCAGTCAATCATAAGCACTACACGAGAAAATTTACGTCATGGTGGGACATTAGCAAATTCGCACGTATAACAAGTAGGAATAGCACACATGTGACTAAACAATCGATTGAACGCTGAATCTGAATTAAGAAAGAAACTGAGCAAAATTTCTGCTAGAATCGATACCAGTTGCACTAAAATACAAGCATATCCTTAACACTAAATTGACTAAATAATGAATATCACATTTAGCTTTCTTTTATTCTTCTTTCTTTAACAAAACACCTTTTTTATTTTAAGCCTAATAGGGGTACATGGAGCTATAAGTTTAAGAAACCGAGAATATTATTAGTATTAATTCTAGGTATGATATAATTTTGTATATACTATGTTTAATAACATAGTAAGAATAAAGTGCATAATTTTTATTTTAATATATTATAGGCCTCAATTTTATATAAATAATTTTAAATATTATAAATATATTAATTACTTATACAAGAACATGGTATATTAAGTAGATAAAAGTTGGAAATAATAAATATTCTAGAACAATAATGCATGATCAAGATCACATACTGACATTGTTAGTTGAAAACTAATCTTACGAGCATGGCTATGAACTGAATACGCTTGAGTGATAACAACGTATAATATATACAAGGTTGTCATTAATATTAAGGTGAATTAAAATAATCAATATGAATCTGAATAATAATGTAATAATTTGTAAAAATGTTTATTTGTTCCTTACAGGGAAATGAATGAAATGTGGTATAAAATACACAAAATACACACACACACACACACACACACACACACACACACACACACACACACACACACACACACACACACACACAGAGAGAGAGAGAGAGAGAGAGAGAGAGAGAGAGAGAGAGAGAGAGTGAGTGAGAGAGAGAGAGAGAGAGAGGGGAGAGAGAGAGAAAAACACTTTTAAGGTAGTCTAGTATCTTACTAGCTGTAGGTACATGAAGAAATATTTACTATCAATTGTTCATGGAATTTGGTCATATAGCAAATCGTATTGTTTGTATATAGCTTTATATAGCTTTATTTATTGTATACAGCTTTATATTGATAGAAATTATGTAAGTACCTAATTTGAGCATAATGTTAATGATATGCAGAAGCTATACATCATAACAGTGAAGAGTATCACTATAAGTAATATTTCCAAATATGATGAATATTAGGGAACTAAAATTCTTGATGTTTAATATTTTTAAATGTAATTTTTTTTATATATTATTATTATATTTCGATTTTTATAAGCAAAACAACCTACGGCTTACTTGCTGGAAAATAGAGAGTAGGCATCTTATGGGCATCATAGAATATACTGTGATATCCAGGGCATTCCCCATGCGTTACTATAGTCGTAGACTATTGTGTAGTGTTATGCCTCCATACCCTGTAATTTTACTGCTATATCAAATACATCAAATCGAGACAGGCATGAAATCAAAGCTGCTTTACGACAGATATACGAATTGAGTTGAATTAGTATGACAAAACGTGGTAAATTTTTAAAGTGTTTTACTTTAAAAATTTACCACGTTCTTCGTTACAAAAACAACGATTGTTACTAACGAATATATTACGTTAGACTTAAAATCTGTCTTTTTATTGAGTTAGTAGAAACTTATATTTATTGAAATACATTCACAGATATTTCATAATTTACACTTTGTCTAACCCTAAATATGTTGACTGTGTTGTTGGAAAAGCTTGACATAAGGCGTACATACCATTTAACTCTTAGGTTACTCCGTCATTTTACGAGATTCTTCATAGTTATTCTATTGTACCATGGGCAAGATAATGTTGCAGCGAAGGGCCGAACTAAGTAGGAAAATACTACGTACTAAAAAGAAAAGTTCTAAAATAGCATTGATGACATTAACAGAAGGTCAATTCTTATTAATATAATTCTTTAGTGTAAAATTGTGTTTAATAAAAAATATAGCTAGTTGTATTTGAAGTCAAATTCACGTTTACATATATATTTAATTCTATATGTATATAAAATTCACAATTTAGGTCAGTTAATTTATTACATATTATATCTCGTTAGATTTGTACCTTGAAGAAATGTATACTTTTAAAATTTTATGTCCTGACTAACTTATCAATACACAGTTAAAATTACTAAGTCTAGAAAGCTAAAATTTGAAACAAAGGTTTATTTTATAACGTAAGCATCCGCTAAAAAGGATATTTAAAATGTCAATTTAAATGAGACACACAATACTTCGGGTGCAAGCTGAGACCAAAAATTTGTATTATACATATTTAGAATAATGAGTACTATATGAAATCGTTTTTATACAAGTGAGTAAGTCAAAATTCTCCGAAGCACGCCCACAGGTATAATGGTATTTTGTTATCGTGGGAAAATTCATGACCTCCTTCATGGCAGGGTAGTTGCTTCCTGTATTATTAATTTAATAGAGGCTATATTTTTATATAAAATAATTTTTATACACTAAATAATATTTCATAAGTAATATGTAGTATTTTACATTATTTAGAAAATATTTTTTTAGTCCCTACATCCGGTCCTGTGCAATACAGCGATTGCAGTCTCCCTCTGCTGTGCAATGGCTAGACAAATCCGCGTCTCTATAAAAGGGACAGGTGATTAAACGACTAAGTACTGCACGGCGAATACGCCGCTGACTTCCACCATATGGGATATAACACATTTGCTCATCCTCTATACTGTTAAACAATGGCGATGGTGAGTTATTTTTTATATTTCGTATTAATTTGTAATTAACGGACACTTACTAAAACTGATAAGTATTTAATAGATTAACAACGGTGTGTCATAATTTTAAAACAAATTTAATATATGATGTGGTATAAAAATATTTTGGCTAAATTATATACATTTTATATGACAACAGACTTCAGTCACGATAAAACTAATATTTAAAGGATTTTTAAAATCAAATTCAGATTAGCGTAGTATACACAAAAGAAAACATTATTTATTTCTGTTATAAATATTAAAATTATATATGAAAATAATTAACCTATTTACATAATTTACATATTTATGTTTATAAATATATATATGTAATTTTATTTATCTTTTGTATTTATATTCAGTTACTAAATAAACAGCTACATAATAATGTAGTTTATTATTTATTTTTACACCATATATGTTATGCTTCATATACAAACTCTATAGATAGTTTCTGATTTCGGGTTTTCTAGGTTGACTGGAAGAAATGTTTTCAAGGGTTAATCCCGCCTGGGTGCACTTTTGTTGCAACCTTACATCTGTATTAAAAGTGAACGAACAAAAGCATATAAATGGTATATAAGCAATTAATATTATTTATCAAAAAAAAAAAAAAAAGAAAATAGAGTAATAAATAACTTTTATTTAGGTTATAGGACGGACAGATTTCTCAACGTCATTTGATAATGATCTTGGTCTGGCCTTTGTATCTTTTGTCCCTTTGTCATGGCTTTCGTGTGAGAACTATTGATATGTTTTTTGTGCAATTAACTTAATTTCATTATAATTACCATTTGTATTTTGTTGAGAAATGTTTAAAACATTTACTGTTGTCTGCTGTTGTTAAAAAATTACAATTTGAAAGCAGCCGTTATTTAATAAAATTTAAAAATAGATAATTATATCTATAAAATGATGCAATATTTTTAAACACATTTTTGAAAAAAGAATTATCGAAAATATTCGCATATTAGCTCGTTAATATTCGAATGGCTGAATGTATTTAAAAGGAATTTTGATAGACAACTATGTACTAATAATTTGTTGTTGTATCTAAAAATATGTAAGAACCATCTCATAACTCTCTAGCAACTGCCCTGGGTAGTATCTATGGACTGCAGTAATCCCTAACCATCAGATAAATTGTACACTTATTTTAAAGGGTGGTACTTTTCACATAAAATATGAATGTTTTATAATAACAGAATAATTATTTGAAAAGAGCATCAACAGGAAAACATTAACCCTCTTACAAACTTATTAAAACATGTCAGATTTAGGTCATGTGATTATTAATTGGTTTGTTTTCTCTATGGTTTAAGTATTATTTTGCAAGGCAGCACAATATAATCTGTAAAAATCAGAATTTAAGTCTTCATAATATGCCACGTTAGGTTTTTTGTTAACGCGTAGTCTTAAATTACTTTATTATAAGTTTTAAACAATTTTTTGTATTGATTTTGAGAACAATTTTAAATTTATGTAATATACAGCATCATAATCTGAAACAATCCAATAAGATTCTATTTAATAAAGTGAATAACATTTTTTAGTTATTTGTCGTATCCAAAATCTTATAGTAACAATAATGTTAACAATATTCTTCAAAAACTATTTATATTTTTTCTTTGGCAGAATTAAAGATTTAAAGAGAATCATATTTACCTCACTTGTCATTAATCACAGTTTGTAGATGCGTTGTTGTTAAGTGTGCCATTCAAATGCCCATAAATCGTGTTAACCTTTCGTCCTCCAATTAAAATGCACTTATTCCATCTGTTACTGCCGTAACTATTTATAAGTATCTATATGCATATAATATGCAAAATAAGTGTAAATTTAAAAAATCATAAAAGAGTTATATTCAAATTTTTGTGCAACACAGCGGTGTAATAGGATAATCAATTTGGAAGATAAATTTCAAAATGTTAAAAAAGTATGGCAAGGTAAAGCTGCCAATATCTTATGAACATTACCATAAAGGATTTTTTATATACACTTTTTAAATAGTTACTAGAATATTAATTAATATTGCTAAATATAAGCCAAATCTTATAGTCACATAGATAAAATCAGATTACGCCGATCCGCAATAATTATTGGGATAAGGGTAGGAAGTCGAAGACGATTGCTAAATAATAAATATCGTGACTATATATGTGTATTTTAATTATTATTATCATTTAGTTATTGTAGTTTTTTTTTTATTTTAATGCTGTTATTTCATTATTTTAATTCAAAATGATATAATCTTGTGAAAGATTTGAAATTTAGTGTCAGCTATAATGAAAAAAATTGATGAATTATTTCCCGTGCAGTCCCGACATATAAGTCACCCCTTATTTTTCCGTGGGTGTCATAAGAGGCAACTAAGGGAGAGCGAGGGATGGGCAGCAGCGTCCCTCTTAAAACATCTTCAAAGCCCATCTGCGGTTACCAATCCGCCTACCAAGCGAGGCAACTACTGGCAATAGTTGCCTCACTTTGCAGCAGTGGACAGTTAAAAGCTGATATGATGATGATGATATCCAGTTAGTTATGATAATACTCTCTAAGTAATATACTTTAATTTGAACTTTACAGTTACTAAAACTTGATCGAAATAAGTAATACTTAAATTAATTCATCGTATGCAATCAACTTGTTAAAGAGATTGATTTTATATAAATATGAGTCCAATAAGTAATCAGTAAATGTTAAAGTTGACACGTACGAGACTAAATTAATATCAATGTTACTTGTAGAATGTCTAACAGCTTGTTTTTAAGGACGCGACCATAGTTGGCGAATAGGGTATAGGTTCCTCGCGAGTATCATCTCTTGCAACATCTTTTGCATTTATTGCATCCACAATGCCTAACCTTTACTAGAAACAAGACATTTTGCTTTAGTGACATGTACGCCGTTTAGGCACCTCTAGGATTGAATAACGTAGTATTGGAAAATTTCCAATAATTATAGTAAATTTTAGATATGACAATTTAAATTTCTTTTTATTCGAATGAATCTATGTAGGTAATGAGGTAATATTCAAAACCCCTTGAAATTATTGTTTATTGGAAATTCTTTCAGATATATATTTATTTATAATCATTATGATATGTTTTTTTAGAGTCTATTTCAAGTTATTTGTCACATGCTTATGTAAAAATATTTGAAATATGAGATATAATGTGTTACACATAAAAATCATAAGTACATATTTCGCTATACATAGGCATGTAAATGTTGGGTCCTTAATATTATTATTTTTTTAAATTACGATGATATTTTAATTCCTCAGTGTTAATTTAATCATTTATTGGCTCCATTTTTTTTTTACAATATTTTAACAATAGCAATACATATAATATTCAGTACCCCAGTCAATCGATAATATAAAGTTTATCATTTCATTTCATCATACACATTACTTTAAATTACTTACTTTATACTAGGTATTAATATTGAGTGTAGTAAATAAAGTTACGGATATGTACAGACAAATGTTAATCAAAGGGATAAAGAGGTATCTTTAGGGTTGGCAACCCACGCGTAATGCCTCTGGTATTAAAAACGTTCATAGGCTACAGTAACTTCTCACTCCCAGGTGAGTCGTTTGCTTGTTTCTCACATTAGTAGTATAAAAAAATATGTTAAGTAGTAAACAACTATACGAAAAAGTATCAATCTAGGTATCAACAATCATGGTCTTACATATTACACAACTGAAGAACATTGACTTTATCGATTACACAAAGCGTATTATAATTTTGTATCTCAATTTCTATACGAAATAACGAAATAATAAATATTTTTATATTCGGTCTAACTTTTTACCCACTACTTCGTATCCATATTGAAATTTGAAATTAGAAGGTGTATCAGGATAGAATATATATCAAATTTTAAGTTACACTCATAAGAAAACAACTATCCATAACTAATTTGATGTAGTAGTTTTTGCATGATGCATAAAATAAACATACAGATAGTTTTTGAAAATAATTGTTTTGATATCTTTTACTTTTATTAAGACCCCTTATATAAATTTTTCTTAAATATCTCCTATGTACAGGCATCATTTAGCTACAATTTTATTATACTTGCAACATAAGGTGTTTAAAATTTATGTTTAACAAGTCAAAATATAAAGTACCTAATAAAATATTATGTTCGTAATCAAATCAGCACTGAATCCGGCCCACTATTATAGCGACCCGTGCGAGAGTTAATTATATGTGCGCCTTTTGTTCTTGCATATCTCGTTAACTCTTGTCGCGAATTCAGTGACATGTTCCCACAACTCAATACACTGGACTTGCAAAATATGGTGCGACAGTACACCAACGTATGTAATATACAAATTATTTGTTTCTAAATAAAATATGGCTAGAATGAATATAAATTTGTATAGGTAAGGTTTTATTTTATTTGATTTGTTTCAGACTAGATACGAATACAATGCAAAGTGATTTATTAAAATCGTCGTAGAATTAGCGAAGGTATCGTATGTATGCATTTAGTGTCATTTGAGATGACGTAGGGATTAGGATGAAACCCTATACAACAATAATGGGGGGGGGGGGGGAGGGATTGCTAGTAATGCGGATTTACGCTCCCATTGCTAACAATATACCCTAACAGGTCGACCTCCTCGTGGTCCCCCCTGGAAACCATCGTGCTGAATTCCAAGTGTATTCATCACGATGCGCTAACTGACCTTCCTTTTCATTCTCACGTATCATCCCTCACTGGTGTCCCGCCAGCGTATACCGTTAGCGCAGGCGGGGTTACCATTCCATTACCATCCATAAAAAAAACCCTATACAACGAAATTAGGTTCAATAATTTAAAAGGTATAATGAAATAAAGAAGCTCATATACATGAATTCTAAAAATTGCATAGGTTGTTAAAATTACAAACTCCCTTTAAAATTTTTTATTAATTATTTTACTAGAATTATAATATATAAACTGGAATATTTTTTTGGTTATTTTACTACAGATCCCTAAAATTGTTCTGAGAATGCACATAAAAGTTCTCGGCAACTTTATATTGAAAAAAAGTGCATTTGTTTCGTTTAATGATCACAGAATGAGGCTTATTCGAATGTTATAGTCTGCTTTAAATTTGATATAAATTATATTTATTATCAATGCCTGCCCTCTTATTTCTGGACTTAGAGTTCTTTAACCTTTTGCAGTTCGATTTTTGTAAATTCTTACAATTGATTTTAAATGCTTCTTAATAATAATAATGCCTATTCCGAGGGTTAGTTTACTATCTTTGCTTCTTAAGAGGAAGGGATGTGATTTTTATAAAATAATAATATTGTGGTGAAGGATTGGAGGAGTGGATGTTACCATATGCATGATAAGAACCTCGTGAAAGCCGAAACCGAGAAGAAGAGGAAGTATCTCGACTTGGCTCACAAGGTGACTGAACTGTTGGGAATTATTTCCATGGAAATCATGAATCTTAATAATTCTGTAGAAGAATGGTCTTATCCCAACCAGTCTGAAATAATACAACAAACAGTCAGGATTTCGAGACAGGTCTCTTTCGGGAAAGACGCAGAAAGCGGTGCTCTTGGAGACTGTCTGCATAGTACTCTTACTGGGGCATTGAAACTCGGTTGATTGAATTTCTGCCGGGAGTTAGTTTGCTACCTCCCTTCCTTAAGAATGGAGATGGGCATTTTTAAAATAATAATAATAATAACTATATTTTTTATTCAGGTAAACTTAATTACAAGCATTTTTGTTAATGTTTTATGATTATACCGACCATTCGGAATGCAATTTCAGCTTAAAATACATTAATGTCTCTAATGAAATATTAATATTTCTATAATAGATATCTAATCATGGTATTTTTCATAAGCTGTCATTCGAGACCTAAGGGGAGATTGTATTTAGCTATAAAATTAAATGCCTGATGATAGTAAATAGTTCTGGACAAACTATACAATACAAAATAAACAAATTTGTACTATTGATAACCTATTAGACAATGGTTTGGACTTTTTGTAAATAGAAAGAAAAGGCCTACATTAATACAAATAGACATACTTGTGTTATCTGTAATACTTAGTAAAAACTAAATTGAAATTGAATGTACTTTTTAAAACATATTGTTGATTGGAATTGGAACTAGGTGTAAGTAATTAAACGTATGGATACATGCAAGTTTCATAATAAACAGCTTAGACCTTCGGTGTCATTTACCTACTATTATCCAATGTAATGTTAATTGTAGCATGTTAATCTTTGTCATATTACTCCAGCTATTTTTATTGAGTAATTTTTAGGTTATGCAATTTGATAACATTTTTCACATTCATTTTATAATATTTATATTGGTATACCAATATACATATTGGTTCTTACCTAACGATTAAACTAAATTAATTTATACACGTATATTAAGTATTATGTATACCTATCATATGTTCTTCTTATGAGAAGAGATCCATGCCATGTTATGGTATATTGCAAATGTGAAAACTATTTATGGCTCAACATAAATGTAGTTTGATTACGTATTGATTTAATCAGGTTGTATGTTTTCCTAAAAATAAATAAATAAATAACACATATCATAAACTGATTTCAGAATAAATATTATTATTGTATAATATATTATTATTATATTCTTCTTTTATTCATAATTATAGTAGTGTGGTAGTAGATAATGACCAAAATATAATGATGCACCTATAAGGAAATTTAAATTTACTTGCGGCGGGATGTTTACAATTGCATGCAATTGTGCATTATGAAATTGACTTTCTTAAAGAGAGATGATATAATACATGTATTCGTGCATTACTTGCGTGATCGCTGTGTGAAGGCCGCGTGCCACAAACGGCAACAGACGTAGCTAATTGTATTTGTCTTGTAGATACAATTAGCAAGTGGACATTAGGCATTTGTTTATGTAGCCGCATGCCTGACCTAAATTATCTTTCATGCCATCGGCAATACTTCCAATACCAGTTCAATCATCTAAGCACAGATATTATGCGAGAAAAGTTAATATATTAATTCTAAAATATACGAATATAATGAAAGTCCTATATAAATACTATGTTAGCAATGTGTTTAAAATGAAGATGACCTCTGTGCACAATGATAAACATGTCGTCTTGCCTAAATGAGATCCCAAATTTGTTTCTGAGTCGAGCCAATTTAGGAAACAAACTTTTCTAAATTATCTAGAATGTGCTTCCACATATTCATTGGTCTGGTATCTCATGACATAGAGTATCCTAGTGGTGTTTATTATTAATATTAGATGTATCATCACTATCAGTAGTAATTTGTACATTGATTGTTGTTTGAACTTAAGCAGCTTCAAAAAGTTGAAGTTTTATAATTTGCCTGTATTTTTTTGTATATACAATATAAGTATATACCAATTAGGAACTAATTTTGATATTTCCATTTCATATTGATTTTGTAAATATTAAAAAAATCTGCTTTATTTTGGGAAGCTAAATCTCAATTTATTTCGGGTCTTTTTCTTTTCCCACATTGATGTAAATATCATATGTTAAAATTCTTTCTTTAATGTCAAAATAATATTCTGAGATAGAAATGAATTTTTTTTTGCGAAAAGTTAAACGGGAAAAGTTTGAGAACTTCCTTTAATAAAATTTTTTATAGCATTGTCTCTGCATTAAAATACGTTTAAGACGTTTGTAATATAACTAAAACAGGGATCAATATCTATCACTGTTATTTATTTAGTATATAAAGAAAGTAAATAATTTTTAGGAGTAAGTACAAATTTCAGACATGAAATTATTGAATGCGCCTGATGCGAAGGTAAAACGGCGATCGCCGTACAAATACTTGTTGCTCTACAAATGTAACAGGTTTATAAAGAACGAATGTTTTAACACGTGGTACCTATCAGGTATTATACATTTTTAATACGAAAAAAAAAAAATAGAATTTCATAGATGTCAATTCATTAAGCAATTTTAAATATTTTTTTATAAGACGAGATTGATAGTCAAGCATACGGTCTGTCTGATGGTGATAAACGACCACCGTAACTAGAAGCTTGTGCGTTTCCGACTTTTGTTACACAAAGTTCTTTATTCAAAGTATCCAGTAACTTCATTACCATTTTTTTTAAATCGAAATATTGCAAGCAAATTAGCTACGTGGCAAAATCAATAGTTCATTCATTCATTCATTCATTCATTCATTTATTTATTTATTGTTATTACATGTTGTAACAATATTGGTCTTAATTTACTAAAAGTATAGAATCAACATGAACCCTGGAAGGGCACAGCAATCACATTAATAAATATTATATAAACTACATAACTAAATTTTTACATTATATATATGTATCGTCGATTAGCATAAAAAATAAAAAAAAAAATCAAAAAAGTTGAAACAGAGATGCCTATGAAAGAAGATCATGTATTAATTATCTTCTAAAAAATGTATGAATAGGCTCTTTTTGTATAATACAAGAGTAACATGGTTTAGACCATGATATGATATTCTACGCTCGTACTTAGGTACTTGTTGGGCACTTGTCAAGTATTTAATAGGTATCGCAACAAATTTTTAACATTCGATTTATGAAAGAATTTTACAATTTCAGAGGGTGATATTATTCCTTGGAGTAGTGACGTTAGCTGTATCAGCGCCTCAAAAGCCGGATCAAGTGATTGCTATAATCAAACAAGACTTTGATCAACAAGTGGATGGATCGTATAAATACAGGTACTTCAATTAGCAGTTTCTATCCAGGTCGTCATTTGAATGTACTTGTATAGCCAAGGAAGAAGTTTATTCAGTGCATTCTAACATCCTATTATATTAAAATTAATAAAAAAATAAGAAATAAAACACAAATGTGTCCTACCAAAAGATGGACAAAACATATCATCCACGTGAATGTAGGTAGCTACTACAATTTTAGATGTTTACTCATTTATTATTAATTATAATATATATTGATAATATAAGATTTTTCTTCGTAAAAAAAAAAGGGACTCATAACTAGATTTTCAAATTTGCACCAATACGAGAATATACTTATTAATGTGTAAAAATAATTATCAAAATCGGTCCAAAATTGGTGGAAATATCCTATAATATCAACAAAAAATGTAGGCGAATGAAGAACCTTCTATTTTGAAGTCGTTTAAAAAGTATTTTAATTAGGTAATTGTCATATATTTAGTGATGATATCATTTGGGAATAAGAGTGATGTCAATATGTGATTTATCAATTAGTAATGAAACACTATAAGGTACTATTAAAAAGTGAGCTGGCCATGTATATGTCAGGAAATAACATTCAGTTTTCTCATAAATTACCCAGTTAATCTTCTCCTTATTTTTATTTATATCAATATCTTATACATAATTTTATTTACTTATATTTTTATATTAGCCTTTCTTTAGTTTACTCGTATTTAAGTAAACAAATTCTATTTTTGTTAGTTCTTCAATATGTATTGAAAAAAATGTTTCTGACTGATGTTGTGTTAAAATTCTGTTAACTTTTATAATTTATATAGTAAACACTTTTACATACTTATATTTATGTAAGTAAATATTGGTTTAATATTACAGCGTCACAAATATGAAATCATATATTTTCTTTGTATTCATTTAAGTTATCAATCAGTATTTAGCAATCATGGATAAACAAGTTTAAGTGAAAAAGGGCTGGTAGTAGTACTTCCAGAAATCGACAATCTGTAGGGAAGAATAAAATTCAGTACCTATCCTGTACAAACAAATGTAGAGTAGGACGATCATCCACTAGATTGTCTCGAATGTATTTTTAGTAGATGCTGGTATTGCCATTTATGGCATGGCTCTTCCATGCCATGAATTAATGGAAGAAATGATAATTATATATGAGATATATATCTATATAATTATAATGACGACGATACTAGCCCACGTTCATAAAAATATTAAATACCTTAGATTAGACAATAAATCTTAGATTAGAAATAACGCCTCCAGCGCATACCGATAACGCATTATTGGTATGCATTAGCACCTATTTCCTATCATCGTTCATTGATATTTCTTTATAAGTGGCGCAGGGGTGATATAATGCTGCTGTAGTTGGCAAAATCATACCCAATAAGAAGTTTACAATTGTATGTTTTTAATTTCATTACATTTCTACGAAAGGTTTTGCTCTATAAGAGAGTAGTAAGACACATCCTTAACACGTTTTCCCTTTCCAAAGGATGTCATTATGTTTGTGTGTTTTGTAAGTAAGAGATTGATATGTTGATAAACAATGATGTATTACTTTGATGTATACAAATACATCAAGTTACATCTAATATTGAATTATGTACAAGTACATAGTCATATACCTATACATTTAAGAATTAGTTACCTGTCAATAATATTGATTTTATCCGAGGTAGATAGTGATTTGACAGTCACGATTAAACAAATAATTTAAATGATAAAAAAATATTTACGGTACAAGAGATTTGCGTTATAACATTTGCAGATTGTAGACAAATGACGTAAAGTGTATTCGGTCGACACATTACTTGAAATATCTTATGCTTTAATACAGCGAGCTTCTTATTAATAGACATACAAAGAGACAGGTACAGACAAAATTTGTAAAAAATATTATTTTAGTCCGAATTGCTCTTATTAAGGCCTCTCATATATTTTTTTCTTAAATATCTTCTGTGTACAGATACTGTCTAGTTACAATTTTATTATATTAATAAGGTTTCTAGATAATAGTGTGAAAGTTAAATAACTGCATACAATTCTAATACGAGTATATCATTATCATCATCATATCAGCCTTTAACTGTCTACTTCTGAAAATAAGGATGCCCTTGGGGGGTTTTGCTAATAGTTGCCATGCTTGGTAGGCGGATTAGCAACCGCAGTTAGGCTTTAGAAATGTTTTAAGAGGGACGCTGCTGCCCATCCCTCGCTCTTCCTTAGTCGTGTCTTATAACACCCAAGGGATAGGAAGGGGTGGCTTATTCTATGCTGGGACCATACGACCAGTAAGAATATTTAATATAATTTAATATAAGTAATTACTTATTAAGTCTACAATTATCGTATAAAACTATAAATTATATAATTTGCAATTATTAGGAAGCTCATAAATAAATTCTCAAATATTGTTTGTGAAAATAAAATTACAAAGAGATATTAAAAGTTAAAATAATTAATTTCAGTTTCGAGACCGAAAATGGTATAAAAGCTGAAGAGACTGGGACTCTTAAGAAGGCATCAGGTCCCGATGCAACTGATGTGATCGTTGCACAGGGAGGTTTCAGCTATACTGCACCCGATGGTACTGTCATCAACCTCAATTACATAGCTGATGATGAGAGTGGATTCAGACCAGAGGTAAGTGAAAATAATATATATAGAAATATATGCTATATGATATGTTGTAACAAAAAAAAATATTTTTCCCCATGTATATACAATACATGGGGAAAAATATTTATTTGTAACTGCTTTTTGCCCGTTACTTTGTACGCGTAGATTTCAGAATTAATTCAATTAACCAGTTCTAGATGGAGTATAAACATAAAACATTCACTAGTTTTTAAGTTAGGGCACACCAGGAACACAACAACAGTCAAAACCGCATTCAATTTGGTGAACTAGTTTTTGCGTGATACCAGAATAAACATACACACAGGCAGACCGACAGACAGACCGACAGACAGACATATCATTGTTGTGGCTCTTATTAAGGCCCCTCGCATCAATTTTTCAAAAGTATTTCCCATATACAGGCTTTGTCTAGTTACAATATATATAAGAAAAGTAAGAAAATTAAGAATAAGATGTAATATATAAAGTACCAGCACGAATACCAGTTCTCTCCATAAAAAGATATAAGACGTATCATATACTGCTAACCTAACATTTTATTTTGAAAATGTAAGTCAACATTACATTCCACATACATACCACAATGAAGTTTCAACTGAAAATATTATGTAATATACATTCAATACTGACATTCACTACTTTATCTACGTGACTTTTTATATCTACATCTAAAAAGTAACCTATATTATTGTCCACCCTATTGCACGTATGCCAAATTTCATAACGATTTGTTAACTTGTTAAGTCATCAGAAGATAACAAACAAACTTAGGCGAAGTACACACACATCGCAGACTGCCATCTGCCGTGGGCGGAGAACCGTTGTGATTTCAATTTATATTGAGCTATGTTATATGAAAATCATAGCAATACAGCGACCGCTGGACGGTGCGTCGCGATTCGAAGACTCGCCGCAGTGCGTAACACGCTTGCCCCGCAATTGTAGGCGGTGAAATCGTCTTACTTCTACTAGTAATTACAGTAAATTATTAATCGTTATAGTAAATATCATTACCTACTCGCGTTATAACATAAAAGTAACGATTTAATCATTTGAGTTAAACTCCTTATTCTTATGTAAAAGTCAGAGCAGAAGCAGATTTTTAAATTTGTATAACAATTTTTTAAAATTTCTAATGAAAAATGAAATAATGTTCATCTAGTAACATTTATTTGCGCAAATTAGACTTTGTGAAGGCTGTACTATGACTATGACGTATACACAACCGTATGGCTGGCAATACCGCGCGAAGCGGCGGCTGTTCGTCCCGTGCTCCTGCTTTCGGGACCCGCTACGGCTGACAGATAAAAGCGAGGCAAGCGCACGAGCACGGTACCGTGTGTCCTTCGCCTTACTTTCACGTATATAATATTAATAAGAATTTGTTATGTTATAAGTTAAAATATTTCACTCATTCGTGGTTTCGAACTTTATTATAATAGGCAAAATTATTACGTAATTAAGTTTTATATTTATGATCTCATTCATATACCATAGATTACGCATTTTATCTATATAAATAAATGCATTTTTATCGATATAAATAAAAAAATTTAGAAGTAAATACTAAAAATGAAATTATAGATATAGAACCACGCATTATAACAGCTTAATTATAATTATCAATCGTATTCATATTCGGTGACGTCTTACACCTAATTGTGACATGACCTATTAGAAAGGCTTACATAATTTCTTTGTGACAAACGAAAAATTGAAAATATTATTAAGAAATATAACTAATTCAATTTGATGCGTTAGCGCTTAGTTTTAAATATCATTATACATATTTTGCGTGCAGATTACAGTAATCGTTGACAGTTATATAACCTTTATAGGAATATTTTTTATTTCTCTATCTTGTAGGATCTTTTAACATTCGTTTCTCTGTGAATACGAAGAATGTGACTTTTAATAAAAATATATAATTAATTTATTACAACAATCTGCTTAAATAATTCTAATATTCTGTATAATGACTGCATAATATATAATTTAATATTATAAAATTTAATTAAATATTATTAAATAATTAATTTAATATTATTTTATAATATTTAATTTTACCAGAGAGCGACTTTGTATAAAAGTCGTTTGCTTGGGTACCTCTGTCCCATTCGTGTTTCAATCGTAAAGCAATTGTGTTTGCATGGCTGTGTTTCGGTTTGAAGGGTGTGAGATACGGCGTGAATTTACTGGGTACAGTGGAATAATACCTGAGTCCTCAGGAATGGCAACGCATGGGGGGTATCATGGGCGAAACAGTATACACTGTTACGTCTATGGTACTGCTTATATTTATAGACGATGACTACCACTTTTCATCAGGTAGGCCACTAGCTTATTTGCCATAATCACTATGTAGCATATTAAGGTAAAAACTGAATATTATCCAATTTGCAAATGTAAAGTAAACAAATAAAATAAAAGTTGTTTTGAGTTCCGATTACAGAAAAGGAGGTATTAGTGACATTTTTCTTTTTTAAATTGTGGCCTACGCAATACCTGTTTACCAGTTTACTTTTGTGTAATGTATTGATGTACAATACATATTGTTATTTTATATTGATATTTATTTTTGTATTACAGGGGGCGCATCTGCCGACACCACCACCAATTCCTCCTGCAATACAAAAGGCACTTGATTATCTGGCTACTTTGCCACCTTCGTCCCAATCCAGAAACTGACCTGCTTATTCTAACATCTACCTGATTAAAACAACTGCCTGACGTAGCTGTCAACTGGACTTAGGCTGCTTTGGAAATAGCATTGATATACCAATTATGATGGTTAGTAACATTTGTAGAATACCATAAAAAAGAAACCATCAGAATTATCACGCACAAAGGTTTGTTTACAAAGCGGCACTTGTAATTTAATGTATAAAAGCAATGAAAAATACAAAAAATAAATGTATACATCCACTGAACTGTGATAGATAGTTAAGTATTTGAATGAACGGAAATGTTTATACCAATTACTATTTATTAAATAATAAAAGCAATTTCAATGCCAAAGATGCATTGCAAAATAATGTTTGGTTTTTCTTTATACCTTACAGTTTGACATTAATGTGTCATGCCATAGTGCGCAGTGGCGTGAGTCTTAAATTAGCACTAAATGGCCAATTTATAGTGTCTTTCCTAATAAATGTTAAAATGGTGATGTCACTTCCGATAATTCTAGAGAATATGTCATTATAATCCGTCCACTGGGTGATTATCTTTATGCATCATTTGAAATATATTTTCGGTTTATTTTAAAATTAAATAATTCGGGCTTTAAAATTGTTTCAATTAAGGTAAGTTATGTACCTATGTTATTTACAAAATTGCTAAACACAAATTAAGATTGTACTGCAAAAAAGCAGCTGTTTCAGTAATAATAAACTTCATAATAAAACATTTTTTTGCAAAAAGAACTGTTAATGAAGATCAAAATTAGTTCAGGTATCTTATAATATACCTTTACTTATATATAAAAATACTGGGAATTGAATTGGGTGTTGAAAAAAACTATGAATGAATATAGAATAGACAAATAATTTTTTTTTTTCTAATACTAATATTCTAATATTTTTTAATACTTTATTTATTTTATATATCGTAAAACAATTAAGAGTGGATAGATCGTATAATGTCTAAGAGCGTTATATTTTCGGCATAAGTGGACGCGGCAGAAAGAAAAAACCTCTACCTCTCGGGTAATGTCTATGTCCTATACTTTTTACATCAATGACATGGTGTGTAAGAAATATAAAACCATACTAATCATATTATATGAATTAATTCTTATATTTAGATGGAATTATCAAAATATTTAAGTGAACTCACGTAAGCAAAGCTGAGGTGTAAATAGGAGACTGGTCATTTTTGGATGAGAGATAAGTTGAAATGCTGATGTTGATAAAGCATAATTTTAGCAGATTACAAGTACGTAAGTAATACAAATGTTTATCTTCATAAATAATAAAAATGGTTATACACTATGTATGTTTTTTATTTATTTATTGTATGGTATTTATTTTATAGGTATTGTGTAATATAAATAATGTAAAAAGACCTTGTTTAAATGGTTCTGTTTATCAAATTTCTTGATTGCATTCGTCTTTGAACTTGAAAAGAATGAGATAATCAAATCGATTTAAATGTTATCAAGGATAATTAATATACATCCGTAATACATTCAAAGTTTATTTGGAGACTAATATAAGATGAGACATGTAATTTATTGCTATTAGTCTAAGTCATCGTTGAGCATTAGTGATTTTAAATTCAATGAAATCAACTATACCATACAAAGTAATCGTTGAATTAAAAAAAAAAAAAAACGGATAATAATTACATAATTATTTTAAAAGAATGAATGTCAACATTATGGGTGACAAATCCAGAAACAATATGAGGAAAAAACTAAAAATTGCAACTTTTGTATAATTTTCTGCGAATATGGTGACGTGAGTGGAAAGCAAAAGTGGTCCCAGTCAGCTCAAAGTTTTAGCATGCCAACGTTCCTCTTACAACCTGTTTATTAAAGTGAGCGTCGTCACAAGGTCACCGATGAGAACACCGCTGAACGATGTGCGCGATGCACCTAAATAGGAAGATGTTATTTAATCGGAATGTTTGTCATTCAAATGTCGAAACAATAGAGAAGGTTCATGGAGATTTGAATATACTTACCTACTTAATGGAATTGTATAATGCGTTATTATATATATTATAATGTTAATTAAATAATACGTTTACAAGATAAGTAGATTTAGGAATGTTTCATAAGTGCAGCATTTGAAAAAATCATCTCTCGAAATACGTACTTGTGGCAATAAAATAATTAAATAGTTTCAGAATTTCTATTTACTTTACTATTTTCATACATACATACATACATACATATCTGTCACGCCTGTCTCTCATTAGGGTAGGCAGAAACAATGGAACGCCAAATGCTTCGATTCAAACAAACCTCTTTCGCTTCTAAAGTATTATAATTATATATAATAATACAGGATCTAGATGGAGATCGTTTTATTGCAAAAATGTAATAAAGATTAAATGATTTCTCGATATAAGCCAATGAATTTGTCCGCATACTGAGACACACTTTTTGGACTGTATGAAATTAGCCTAAAGATATATAACAAATTAAAAAATTTTGAAAATTAAAACACAAAGGTATCAAGAGGTAATTTTAAATTAACAACATTTTAAATATACCTATAATAGCATAATATATAATATTTATATCTCATGAAAATAAGTCTGTATATATTTTTTAATCTAATTACTACATAATATAAAAATACTTTTAATTCTTACGCTGAATTTATTTTTATTAAATATTTTGTGTCAATTTATTCAGTAGGATCAGTAACAGTCTCAGGCGTGGTTTTGGTAGCGAGGTATCGAAGTGCGCGCTCTATTGCTGGCGGGATAGGCGGCGGCGTTGGCAGATGTGCTCCCACTGGTCTGTAGCCGTTTTCGTCCGCTGTATACGTTAAACTGTAGTCTTGTCCATCCTTACCCTTATAATAACAAAAAATAAATTAATAGTATGACATAATCTATAATAGCTATAAATATTCGTGGCTGGCAACATGAAATTATGGACGTAGAGGAGGCAAAGGAAGTATTGAATTGGATCATTCCACACTTCTTATTTCTGTCTATTTCAATGGGAGATGGGCGTGATCTATACGTACATAAAAACCTTTAATAATAAAGATAGTTATTATACAATATTTTATTACAATACTGGAGATATTATTCTGTTATTACTTATTGAAATAATATTACTTACTATTTGTATAAACAGGCTAAGCCCTTGGCTTAGCCTGTATGAATCAGGAAATACATAAAGAATCCTATGTATAAAGTTACGATATAACCAAACAATGTACCAAATATAATTCAAATCCAATCAAATAAGTTTTTACGTGAAAGAGTAACACACATCCATTCATTCATCATTACAAACTTTTGCATTTATAATATTAATAGGATTTCTAAGGAATTATGTTAGTGCTATAAATTCTTCTGAAGCTAATGTATAAAGGATGACAGAAATAAATATTTATAATGGGATTTATTATCGACGAGCATAGTCTTATTTATTCAGTCATCGAATTCAATGTCGCTATTCCCGCCCTTATGTATTGTTATATCACATAATTTTACCTACTTTCTTAACGATGCAAAGTGACCTCTTCTCTGAAGAATTGACTCATTCTTTACCTATATTATATAATGTTAATCAAGGACATATAATCTCACCGTATAAGAAAAGCCACCCACAACGGCTTCACCAGTCTTTTCGTCATCATATGTTTTTAGTTCTCCATTTTCAAAGGCTTTTGTGCCATCTCCACCTTCATAGCTGCAATAAATCGATTACTTACTAACAAACAATTTAATTTAATAGTCTTTTTTATAAGTTATAATAAAACATAGACTTACCTATAATGGAATACACCATTATGTGAAAAGACTTGATTTTCTGATTGAATTATTGGCACTACAGGATCTCGTTCACGTGTTCTTTTCTTTATAGAGTTGTTTTCAAAAACCATTGAAGTTGTCAGTTTTTCATTTGTGGATTGTGATATTTCTAAATGAGGTTCTGAGGTAGAATTTTGTTGTTTATATATATTTGTATCCGATGTAGTTTCACTTGGAGCAATAGTTGCTTTATTAATGCGTCGTCGATTATATGATTGTTCATTATTTGTTATTTTTCTACGGAGTGTAGTTTTTCTGATATTGTTCGGAGTAATTGGCTCCTCATAAACTACAGCAACAGGTATTTCGAGGTCAGTATTGATATCGACCTTTAATGGCTGGTCAATTCCAATATGTTTTTCTTTATCATTATTAATCGGTTTCACAGTGAAATCTTTAGTAACTTTGATGATTGTATGGTCCTTATTGTCTACCGAACTCTTCTCAGATGGATTTGTGTTTATTGATTTACTTACCGTAGAATCAATTACCTTTGCTTGCCGATTTTCTTCAGAAATAATCGCTACAGGAATGAAAAGTGACGCTGAATCGTCATTGATCTCTCTCAAGTATCTATTTGTATTGATATTATATGCATAGACGTTTTCACTTATTAATAACAGTAAACTAGATATGGCTCTCAATATTATCATTGTTCTTATTTTTAAAATTAAAGCACAGCAGCTTACCACCGACACGTTTGAATTGGTAATGAATGTGAGTCAGCCGGATAGCTTAGGCTAAGCTTGTATTTGTATTCGTCATCAAAACACTAGTTTGACAACAATTTATTATTTATGTGTAGGTTCTAATAATAGAAGGATTAAATACATATTAATTGTGTCATCAGTATTTAAGTAGTTGGTAATCTAGGAAGGAACATCATTTATTTAACTTTAAATTAATCATAAACCATAACTTAGCACATGTGTAATACTATATAACGAAACTAATAAAAATAATCTTCGCTGAATGACATAGAGTTATGAAAATGCCGGATGCTGTCTGAATCTATGTTAAATTGTAGTATGAATATTAATACGTATGCTTAGCATTTTATAGGAAAATAAGAAAGGTATTAAATAGTCTTTTTTTAATTAACTGCTGTTCAATTTTGCATAAGATGTAGGATACAGAAATATAGACAAAAAAGTAGCTGTTGGAAAATACTGTTAACAAATCTGAGAAAGGATGGTATGTTCGCTGTAGGCTTTCATCTTGAATGGAAATATTTTAATTTCTAGTACGTTCACTGTAATATTAAATGGTGACAAATATTTTAACTACTCCATAACACACTACAGTCAAATTATATCAAATTACAGAGAAATCATTTTTACTCTTCTACGAGTATCATCAAGCCATCCTTTATTTAAAAATTATTGCCCAAAGCCGAAGTAACTAGGTGAGTGATTATAATATACAAATAAATTATTTAATATGATATCCTAGCTAGCTAGCAAACTATCTATTAGTAGTACATATTCTGCTGAGAAAAAGGTCCAGCGGTTTTGAAATTCAGTGCTCAGTAATTTATTTTACATAGATAATAAAAATATTCTTTATAATTTAAAAAAAAAAAATATTGGGAGATGCGACGAAGCTTAGAACATTCTTGAACTTTGTATTCAATGATTGATATGATCTACCTATTCGTAAGCTATGTTATGAGAACTTCACTGGAATGCTTTGTGTATTTTACAGCAAAACATTTCAGCAGTTTTCAGCTAAATAGCAGACCTTGTTACTGCCTAGACTTAATCGCTACGGATCGTCACCGATAATGTCTCATTGTTGACACTTCGACGATTGTGCAATTTTCCGAAGAACACATCAGTCAAGCGCTAAGGTTGAAGTATTTAGCGTCCGCAAAGGCTTGTACCACCGGAAGGCGGGGGGAGGGTAGTGTAAATAGATGAGTATTACTTATATGTGGTCATGAAGTCTGGAGTATCACTTATTAGTGAATTTCTGGAGTGGATAGAATGAAAATGTTATATAAATTGGTTTGTTTGTGTTGGGCAGTGTCTTATGTGTTGGCAGCACCATCCCCTAAACAGGCCGATCAAGAATCGGAACCTACAGTGATACCAATAGTTTCACAATCTGATGAATTAGAACCAAATGGAACATATAGATTCAGGTAAATAATTTAACATTTTTAGGCATTTACTGCAACTATAACTAAACTAACTATATAACTGCATTATATATGCAAATAAAGATCATTTATTCGTAATTTACAAAATTTAGATCCAGTTAATAAAATACTGATTTAATCAAAATATATCAATATATATTTTATTCATTATTTATTCAGAGATAGGAACATAAATGTAAATAAATGTTATCCATTTATTTACATTTAACATTTCATAGGTACATTTTTTGTAGTACTGGCAATAATTTTTGTACAAAATTAAAATAGTATATGCTTTAGATATTCCATAAAATTTGTTGTTTGTTAGTACGTAAGTGGTAATATTTCGTTTTTATTATGTATTAGTGGTAATCGTTTATATCGCAAGACTGGTAACGTTTCTATTACAGGTCAAACTTTAAACATAATGAAACAAATTTACATATGATTTCTTAATGATAATTTTAATAAGTACTTATAGTGCAATATAATGTTGATCATGCAATAATGTTCTTATTAAACTGTCACTGAAATTTTAAAACTAAATAGTGAAATAGTATTAGGAAACTTCAATAGTAAAATTATGTTTACTTATGAGTTTATAAGGAAGATGTTCTATGTTTAATATTTTATATAATAAAATATTATAATTTTTCTATTTAGTTTTAATATTTGATATGTAATATAATATCGTTATAAATACTTTAAAACGACTGAATTTATTAGAACAGTTGGTACCTAAGTGTGAGTATAATAAAATAATAAGATTAAAACAAATAAATATAATAGCAGCAGGTATCATAAACATAAGTTTAGAAGTAGTTGAACATATATTTATATTAGTGTTATAAAGTGGTATATAAATAAATAGACATACATTCAATTTATATTTTAATTATAAATGAATTTAATTAAATAACATAAATGTAATGAAATAGGTATCGTAAACTGTTACGAGTTTGATAATTTAGTTATATTTTCAATAATGATAATAATATCATATTAATAATTTTATCATTAAGATTTGCTCATAATTAAATTTACAGTTATGAAACGGGCAACGGTATAAAACGGGAAGAAGTCGCTTATGACAAAGTTCTTCCTAAAGCTAAGGGACGTTCGGCCAATAGTAACGAAGGTGGTGAAAATAGTGACAGTGATGAGAGCAATGAGATCCATGTTCAAAAAGGCTCTTATTCCTATACCGCACCCGATGGCACTGTCATCACTGTAAGGTAAATGCAGCATCTAACTGAAACCACTATCTTAAGTCAGCAGTATTTCTATGATTGTAAATACGAGTATATTAAAAAACAGAATTAATTCCAGTTATGACGACAGGTTTACACTCTACCTAGATTATAAGATAACTTAGACTCCAACATGCTCAATGAAATGTTGGCATGTTGAATATAATGTTCACCATAATGTTCAATAAATGTTTCTGAATATCTAAGAATAGATCATAAGAAATTGCAGTCGAGAATATTTATTTATTTTTTTATATGTTTATATTTCTGTTATAAATATTTATAATTAGCTGCTCAAACTTTTTATTCACGTAAAGAAGGTATATAAAATTGATTATTATTTTCCTAGTAATTTGTGAATAAGATTTTAATTATGAAATTTTACGTAGTTATAATTTATATTAAATAATATTACAACAACTCAATTAAATAGTTTACTATATCGATTCCCGCAATAGAATGGCATTCTAAGGCAATCTTAAATATATATTAGTATTTCTTAATTAACTACAAATTTCGAAAGATACTTTAAGTTTATAAGACACAAACATCTAAAGTGTGGTATGTGTTATCCATGGTGTTATTTATGTTTGTAGATGACATTTACCACTTTCCATCAGTTGAGACGTCAGCTTATTTGAAATTCCAAGTTATGTAAAAACAAAAGTTATTTTAAATCGAGTTCAGTCTAGTAATTTCTATTATAAATGATATTAAAGTAAAATCATTACTCTGTATATCGTAAAAATTTTATTAACCAGCCTCAGTAAAACCAACATTATGTTATACATTATATAATTATAATTTAAACATATATAATGATTTACATATATCATCATCTGATAATGGATTGTACTCATAACAATATACAATCATTATTGTTTTATCGTTAAATACACATAACATTTTGTTTTTCTTTAAACAGATATATTGCAGATGAGAATGGTTTTCGACCAATTGGTAAACATTTACCAAGAGTACCGAAAGTAACGTCAGATAGTGCTAGTAGTGGTGAAAAAACTGGAAGAGCTCTTAATAAACATTCTAGTGGGAAGTCAAAATCTGCACCTGCAATAGTTGCACGATCAGGTGTACAAGATCAAGAAAAGTCCTCATCATCAACTCCATCATCAAATACTAATACAAATAACTCTGAGTCTACTACACCAGCTCCACTCCAGCAAACTACATCTCCTGAAGTTAATAATACAAAAAGTGCAAACAAATCAGCGAGTAATTCAGATGAAAACACTACAACTAAAGGCCTTGATACAACAACAGAAGAAGCTTCTACAGTAACTTCCTCAGACAAAACTAACTCAGAAGCAACAACAACAGTAGCAACTGATAATTCTGCTCATCCTGAAACATCTACTATTACAGCGTCTTCAAATACGACAACTGAAATATCATCAACAGCAGCTAAAGACGAATCTACTACTACAGAATTAGGATCAACAGTATCTTTTGATGTTAGTTCTACACCGGTCTCGGATTCAATAACAACTACGCCTTCCGAAACAGTATCAACGACCATTTCTGAGAATACATCTACAACTAGCTCAGATCATTCTAATCCATCTAGTTTGGAATCGTCGACAACGGAAATACCAAGCACTACCACCGTTTCTGCATAAGGTTATAGTAATAGACATAATAATGTCTTAATAAATTTTAATATGTGACTGTATATAAGTATTGAATTGGTGCCATTATTATTGTTATGATACTTAATAGGATAAAATATTTGCCATTAATGTGTTTTTTTTTTACATTATCAATTTAACTTCCCTCCTACAGACAGTCCCAAATTCATAATCTTTGTTATAGTAATTACCAGAACTCCCTAGTCGGTTGAATCGTGCATACATACACACAGCTGTATTATAATATGAATATTGTGATTTATGAAAAAACAAATTTCACATTCGCATACAAAAGTTATATTTAAAACTGTCGTGGATTAAATTTAAAAAAAAATTGTTATCATAGGACATGACGTGGAAGGAGTTGACTATTTACCAAAATAAATATGAAACTCATATCTGACTTTACTTAGTAAAAAAATATTCGTTTAACAATAAATACACGTCGTTTCGTGGTTAGAAATGAATGCTATGTTTGGTTGAAAATAAATTCTATTTTCAGTATCGATTTTTAACTTGGCTTACTACTTTTTTTTAATAGATGATAATGGAACGGTAACCCCGCCTGCGTTAACGGTATACACTAGCGGAGCACCAGTGAAGGATGATAAGTAAAGATGAAGCAGGTCAGTTAGCCCATCATGACGAATCTAACAATAAATCAATCAAGATGGTTTCCAGAAGGAACCATGAGGAGGTCAACCTGACAGAGTATATTGCTAGCAATGAGGATACTAACCCCATTACTAACAATCCCTTCTCCCTCCCGGCTTACTACTTGTATAGGATTGAATTATGCATCCATTTTAAGATAAGTTCGAATATGCACATAAGCTTAACAATATAGGGGGGGGGGGGGGATAATCTAAAGGTATCTAGCGTTTAAACAGGCAATTTAACGCTATTTAAAAATCGTGTAACTTCAGATTCGCGTAAATTGGGGTAGCGTAAAAATAAGATAATAAATATTCAGTAATACTTTATAATATTTTAAAATAATTAAATATAAAAAAAAATTGAACAATAAATTTAAATCCGGAAATCCGTTTAAGCAAATTTAAGTATGAAATAACAGAGTATCTAAGCAATTTCATTTATATCAAAACTTTCCTATTTATTACATCGAAATGTATTGTATATGTTTATACATATCTAATTACTTTTGAATATAGCTTGAACCTGACCGATTTTTATTTGAAGACGATTAATGATACTTATGATTGATTCTGCAATAATTACCCATTCCTGTCTTAGTTAACAATATCAATTAATGATTTTTTTGTGGGCGATATAAGTATGTTTTTAAAGCTATGTAAAAATGTTACTATTGGAAAGAAAATATTGCTTTGCCTTCTTACTTACCTTGCGTGCTAGAGTCTATTTAGATGCACATTTAAATATCTAGTGCAAATGTCAAGATCAATTCATATTCTAATACACGGCACGCTTGGAGAAGTGTTCCTCTCCTTTTACTTAAGATGAGTTTATTGAGAAATCAATGACTTGCATTTACAACCATAGTTATAAGCAATATCATAATTATATTAATCGTTACAGTGTACGCTCGTTATAAATATACACCTATTAAAATATCGTTAAGTATAAATTAGATAATTTGAAATGTATTTAACGTCACACCGGGTTCCTTCGCAGTACGCTGAGAGAAATTAAATATCAACAAAATATTATTCAAATCTTATTTTAATTAATCTTTATTTAATATATTTTTGAAATTTAATAAATAGTAAGAATTCCGCATCTTTTGCGGTTATATGGATTCATGTTGTAATATTTATTTTTAAATTAAAAATAATATCTATAAATAGTAGATTAATAAATTTTGTTTACTATGCAAAAAATATAATTTTGTCCTAATTCTTACATCACAATGTGGTAACTAAACGTCAAAGTTCATACACTTGACCCGGTGAATCAAAGTAACTGGAAATATGAGAACAGACTTACGAGAATTTTGCACAGGTACTGGTAACTTTTTAATAACTTTCATTGGTAATTTTTGGAGGAATAATGAAAGTAATTTAATATATATTTAGTATAATGTATGAAGTGATAAATATTTACAGTGCAGTTTTACAGTATTAGACTAGAATTATTTTATGTGGCCGGCACGCGCCGGTGTCAGTAACCTCGTTAGTTGCTTGTTATGTAACCACTTCTACTCGGACGCTGCACGTAGAAGTATCTGCTTGTAATCATGTACGGGATTTATGTATTTTTATGGATGAAGATGAAATGGTATACCCAGATACAGGTATAGATAGATATAGATGGAAGATAAACGTTCTTATTTTCTGTTCTGTACTAAAAGAGAACAGACAACAATTTATTTGGGCATTCAGGACCAAGTCATAAAGCGGTAACAAATAAGTTGTTTTTTTATACTATTATGGTGGGAAACAAGCATACGGTCCGTTTGATGGTAAACGGTTACTTCTGCCTAGGCAATTTCATCCCTTCCAACACACATCTATGCATTAATTCGAATACAAATTTATTGCGATTTCACAATTTTTAGATACAAAATCGCTAATAGTATCAGATTTCAAAGAAAGACTTTGTATAAAAATCGCCTATATAGGTAATTTTGTCCTAGTCATGTCTCTACTACGAAGCAGCTGTGATTGCATTTTTGTTTGAATAGTAGAAAATAACATTCATATTGCATAGTATGAAAACACAACACTTTAGTTCTGAGGAATGGTAACATATGAGGAGTTCAATCGACGTAACAGTATTATTCTGTTTGTGTTATGGTGAGTATACCAAGGAATTACATAACTTCGGTGCCATTATCATAATTACACAGTAACATCATTTGCTAAATAATTGGATAAAATTTTTGGGTGCTTGCCTTGCACATACCAAATGTAATTTAGTCTTTAAAAATGAGGGAGAGGGAGAAGGCATATTATATTATACAGTATATATAATATATATTATACTGTGTTCTATAGAGGTCAATTACCATTTATTATCTGTCATTACTTCATACAATAAAGATTTCAGTTTATTCTTGTTTAGGTTCGAGGTTGCGGGCTCGAGGGTTCGAGATAGGTACCTATATGTTACTTCGAATTTTTTATGCAATTTAAAATGTGACAAGCTTTATGACGGAAAATGGTAACCGTCACCTATAGACTATGAATAGTACCATGAATATAACAGAGTATACTGTTTCGCCCATGATACCCTCCATGTGTTGCTATTCCTGAGGACTAAAGTGTTGTACCTCTGTACCTAGTAAAATCATTGTCATATCCTCCTTTAAACCGAAACAGCCATGCGAAACACGAATTGGACAGAGGTACCCAAGCAAACGACTTTTATACAGTCTCCTCTGGTGGATTTACATACAAATGATCTGTATATAATTTATAAATAGATTTTAATTATCCTTAGATTAAAATGTATTAATAAAAATCAGAACAAATATTCAGTGTATTAAAATCTATCATAATTTGCATATCAAATTACTTATTAATTCACGTCTAAAATCCATACAAAAAAGCAACATTCATTTTCTAAACTAAAAAATGATATAATTATGTGTAATATGTCCAATTACGTATCTATAATTAGTTGTTATTGAACATAGTGTAAAAACGGCTTATCCAAGCCAACTAGGTAAAAAGCAACGGAAATCGTGCGGATGGTAACAGGTGTGGCTTCAATTCACATTGCACGCACCCTTTTGAACTTATTGCACAAGTTGCCTTGATAACTGATACTAACTTGTTGCTACATTGACGAGCGAAAACGCCTATTCTTTATGTAACTGATTATTGTAAACACTGCCTGAACGTGGACATTGCTACTGATTGATTTGATCATTTTTACGTCGTAAACTCGCTACTTTACCAGCGTGGAACTCGTTATGTCTTTTTTTCTTCCTTAGTTCATATTTGCATCATATTGGTTTCTTTATGCATCTTAAAATGGCAAACAAACGGCCCACTTGATGAAAAGTGGTAACCGTTGTCTGTAAATATGAAGCGTACTCATATAACAAAATATTAACAACTATATTGCTCACGACGCTCTTTATGCGTTGCCATTGCAACCAACCCTGTAATTTCATCTTCTTGTTTCTTCTTCAAATCGAAATACTATTGCTTCACAACAGAAACGCGAATGTGACAGAGGTATCCAATTAAACGTCTTTTATAAAAGTCTTCCTCCGATATGGTTTCTTCTATAAACATGACAACATGGATGAAACTATGTTAAGATTGGGGTATACTACAGTACGGAAAAGAATTATCAAAATCTGTTATGAGTTACATTCACATACCTTAAATTATTTTGTGAAAATTATTCTTGTTTGAGTACAAATAACTGATAATTTATTAAAAATTCAATTTTTCTAAACCCAATTGTTTGTGCTATGCGTATGTAGGTCAGAACAAGTCATTTTAAATTTTGAGTGGATATTCTTTTCATCTTTCTATCCGAGAAGAGATTCGTGTCCCATGTCGAAATGTTAATGGCTTACTATAATCATAATGATGATGAATGGTGTTTTCTTAACTTGTTCAGGCAAATACAACATTATTAACTATTTTTATCCAGTAATGGAGAAATACGTGTACTGTGATTTTGATCAGAATTATAAGTTAACTACTTCTTATATATACCGTATTTATTATCTATTTGATGACTATAAAGTTTCATTATTTTGACAGTAATGTACTATTAACAAGTGACTTATGTACTTTTCATGTGGGCGAAGAAGTAGTTTCCAGATTAATATGAATATAAATAATACTGATATTAATATGATAATTAATATAATACCACATATGTAGTATATAGCGTTATATAATATTAGGACAAAAGTAGGTACTTATGATTACTAAAACAAGCTAAAACTGTAAAGAATAAAATTAAATAGATTTATTAAATTTGAAACAAAATCTATTTCGTCGATTCATGAATTCAACGGCAGCATCAAATATCCGTCTCAAATTCAAATTGAGGCTCAAATAAATAAGCTACATATCCATAGATATCATTAATACAATTGTAGTCGAATTACCATTAAGAAAACAGGAAAATGGATAAAATAAAAACAAATCGATTTACAACTGACGCAGTTCTAAGGTAACTAATATATATATATATATATATATATATATATATATATATATATATATATATATATATATATAATACAAATGAATTTAGAATCTCCTTTTTTTGTAAGTCTGTTGAAAAGTAATAATAATGAAGAGCCAATCAAAGGTTACTCTTTTTACTTTGGTGGACCGGTGAGCTTTGTTTTTTGTCATTAGTATCTATAATAATAATATACTAAAAATATAAAATACAATTTAAAGCAAAGTGTATGCTTTTGTATGAGATATTTTTTTTAATTACTGTATTAAACAAATTCAAAAGTATGTCCGTTTATGTTTTAAAAACAGATGTCAAAATAATTATTTTTTTACTAATATTATAAATTTGTAACTGGATACATATTTAGTTTTAATATACACATATCCTCTACTGTGTAGTTTTATATAGCTAGGACCTGTGACAATACTGAAGCAATGAATTGTGCGTTCCTGTAAATGTTAATGAAATGCTTTCGTTGTTTTTTTTAATCACATAATTAATTTAATCACACTAAACAAAATGAAAAGGAAATAAATTGAAAAAAAGAAATTAATGGAGCCACCTAGTGAAAGATTTGTTTCTATTAAGTATTCAAAGATATAGGTAGGGTTTTTATCTATGGAACTACTCAAGCAACATCTAATAGTGTTTTATTATCAAGATATATACTATACGTTCGTTCGTTATTACCAAATATGTACAATAAGTTTGATGTAACACTAAGCCATAATATATCAATACAACGCAATGGTAACCATGACAGGGATGTGATACCAATAATGGAGCACACGAACAATGGCATCTCGTTTCATGTTATTATGGTGTCATGATTTTTTGATATCGAAAATGAAATCAATGAGAGACGTCGCAGATGCAGCGTATTGCGGCGGCTGTACTGGCATGAAAGTGTGATCAGAGCATGCGGCGGTAAGTGGCAGGGGTGTGGTATATAAGTGAGCGGACTACTACCACTCTGACATAGTTCACTAGTCTCCACGTGCCCCGGCGCCGCACGTCATATCAAACAAACAACAATGAAGCTTCTGGTAAGTTCAGAAAGTTCAGTGACAACCCTTGAAAGAATTATGGCGCGTCCCAGTTTTCTTTTATAAAACTTTCATTTCACAGAATTGGGGTTTTATATTTTTTTTTTATTAGGCTATGTGAGAGAGCGAAATTTAAAGATATAGTGATAGTGGATTTTGAACTTTGACATAAAATTTTTATTAGTACTCATTGACTGCTAATAATTTTTTTTATATCTGTGTACGAAAATATAAATCAAAATTTTAATTAAATATTTATAAAGAAAATAATAAACTTAGTAATTTGACAAGAAGACTTGAAGGATTAGATTAGATATATGTTGAATTTTATTCATATGTTTATTATATCCTTGTTTTCGTAAAAATCTAAATAATAATATTTAAAATAAAAGTTCGTATATGCTATCATTATTAGAGATATAATTTTAAAAATTAGAGCGAAATACATTAGACCTTATAATATAGTTTCTCATTGAATTAAAATACACCTACTGTGTTCTTTTAATTAATCTTAGATATGTTTACACATTGATTTGATTCAAGTATTCATTTGATACAAGTTATATCAACAAAAAGATAATATATTTTTTGTGCAATTGAAGCCTTCGTGATATTAGTCAGACCTATATTTTCTAAGACTAACTAGTATACAAACCATCTTGTTCGTCATGTCTACGAATTGTGTAATACCTACTGCTTACTAGGTCAATTTATATTTGGGCACAGAGGTTAAGTTACGTCTATTCAAAGTCGGTTAATGGTTTATCGATCACAGATAAATAATAAAAAAATAGATGTTTAAAAATCGAACCACGGCGTCTTATATTAATAAATGACTACTAAGCATAAAAATTCATGTATTCGCACGTAAAGGTTGGATGACAGATAAAGTTAATAGCATTAAGCACTCCTGTTATAGGTGCAAAATTTAATTGGTCAATTAAATTTAAATAATAAAAAAGTTTACAAGTACTTTTAATATTTAAATTGCACTGTGCACTACTTAATGTTAATTGGTAAAACGTAATTTTTTAATATTGTCGTGTTCCATATTAATTTTATTATGGAACACGACAATATTAAAAAAAAGTCATATTTTATTATGTCTATGAATACAGATTAAAGATGTGAAAATATTTCAAATTTTTTTACCTCACTTTATTAGCAATGTTTCTTTCTCAAAATATTTTATAAATACAGTTACCAATCTATATAATGTATTAGCAGAAAAGCATTAACAAGGTATTCTTAATTATATAAACTTAACAGGCATTTTTTGATCTAGATTGTAATGAATTAGAATACAATATACCACTATTTTTTTTTAAATCTCTCTACATATCGTAAGATATGACTAAGGGAAGGAAAACTTGAAATAAAACCCGACATCAACTTGCTTGGCTATCGTGCTAATAATAGATGATACCCCATTTGAAGAGAAATTCGTATCCAACCTCATTAAACAGACGTTATGAATAACCGTTTTAAGTAACATCTATATCATTTACATACTGTATACCAGTCTATTGCATTTGAACAAGTCATATTGCATAGTTATACTGATTCATTTGTGAACTAAAAGTTGTTATATAAGAGTAAAACAATAAACATTAGATTTAGGATGTACTAACAAAGCATGTTAAAAGTTAAAGTACATATGAATGAAAACAATACCCTGTGGACATGTGAATGCCAATACATATAATGTTGGAGCCCACTTTCGCCCAACCTGCGTGTCGAATGAGCCGGTTTCACAAGATGCTGCCTATTGTACTCGCTTCATCTTATCTTGCGACATTACGAATATGATTAAGCTCTTCTGTCTGACATTACGAATCTATTGTGTATAATATTTGGATGGACTTACTTAAAATTGAAACTGATTAACTTTCAGGTGGCTTGTGCAGTGTTGTCTCTGGCGACCGCTCTCCCACAAAGGAGAGTGTCGTTGAAGCCTGAGCAACCACTGCCATTGGACGACCAGCAACAAGCAGAGCAAAATTACAACGCATATCAACAACAACCACAGGCTCAGCCTGATTATAGGCAACAACAGGATTACAGGCAACAACAGCAACAACAAGAGTATAGACAGAAACCCATCGAAGACTTCAGACCTAAAGTAGAGTTGGAGTCCACCACCTTCATACCCATCATCCGTTTTGATAAGGAACAAGGCACAGATGGAAGCTACAAAACAGCGTAAGTATTTATACCCTACTCACAGTAAGATTATGATATTTAACGATAGCAATTTAGGAATAGGTATTAATAATTTTGTATTACATCTATTTACTGTCAAACTGATTTAACTATATTACTTTTACAAATTAATTCATTCATTTAATCTAATTAGGAAGCATTATCGGCCTTCCGTTTGTTTTATTTGAAATGAACATGTAATAGATTCTAAAAATGTGGCCTGAATGACATTTATATTAGTGAGTTTTAAACTGATTTAATTAACATTGATATACAAATAAAAGTACATTGATTTAAATTTAAGATAAAATTAATAATGGAGCAGAGATGAAAAGTTATTTTAGGAGTGAAAATTATTGTAATACAAATCAATAAATTTAATTTTAAATTAAATCTATAAATATCTTCAGGTACGAGACCGGTAACAATATCCAAGCAGAAGAACAAGGATTTCTGAAGTCAGTTGGTGAAAATCAGGATGCCCTTGTTCAGCAAGGAACTTACACATATACAGCTCCAGACGGCCAAGTTATTACCGTTGAATACACAGCTGATGAGTTCGGCTTCAGAGTCAAAGGAGACCATATTCCCACTCCACCCCCTGTCTCTGCCGAAATTCAAAAAGGTTTAGACCTTATCTACGCTGGGATTAAAGCCAACCAGGTAAGTTTTATTTGTTTACAATCAATTGGCCGCCTTAATTGATGCTAATATGGTCGATATTGCAACAGATCTGTTCTTTAAATGTTTGGTCATTAATTTCACAAAATAATTATAATATATAACATCGAGATAAGTGTTGAAATTTATACTTAATAAACAGTTTACATATCAATGACAATAATTTAAGCAAAGCACCAATAAGGAGATGTATTGTTATGTACTGTTACATAAATAATGCTAAAATCTAAGTTGTATTAAAATGTAGTAGTTTTGTTTTTATTATTATTTTATATAAATACGACACGTCTTCGAAGAAAGCGTAATAAATTTTACCTTGATCTAAATTGAAAAGGTCGAGAGTTGCATAATCTTATTAATTTTATCTGTTTAGAGAGGAGTAGATGAATTTATAACAAGGTCATTTCATTAAATAAACTTTAAAGTTAGTAAACGAGCGTAGCTTCTTATTTAAAAATATAATATCGACTTTCAGGAACGTGCTGCTTTAGAGGCCAAGAACAACCCAGAGGCTGCCAGGCAGCAAGAAGAAAAAGCGGCGCTCGACTATAAAGGACACTATTACCAACAATAGGTAGTAATCTGAAACTTAGGTTTATGCTTACTGATACACTCAAGTTCGAATTGGGACCATCTATTGTTGCCATCAATAAGTTAATTAAATAAATCACACAATCAGATACGGTTAGTACTCGCGTAATTATAACTTACATGGTCAATGTTGAAGATTGATGTAAAGTATTTTTAGTACTAAATTCATTACTGACGTCTAAATTTTTGTTATTACAAATTTTATTTACAATTTGTTTATATCGCGTCCAGATAAGACATTAAGAATTAGGGTGTGTTTGTAATTCACTAATGATTAATTCTAGCTAACTAATTATTGGTGAACAAATCAATCATCAATATTGAATATTTATTACAAATACATCTTTGATGTAGGGTCAATATTAGCAAGTATAGAATCTTTTTATTCTTTATTAGCGAGTGAGTCTATAACAAAAAAATTCTAAATTTGTTTAATTTATATCTTTACAATTGGTTATACTTTAAGTTAAAGTACTGCTTTTCTAATTTATGTATTACAATTTTGATCAAAACCAATTGTAATTAGATATTCAGTACCTATTATTGAGGATGTTGAAAAATATTGAAAAGTTGGTATAGGCTTTAATTTTGTTATAAATGGATTTTATATCAAGAAAGTTATTTGCGGACGTCGGTAATAAATATTCAAGAATTATTATTACATAAATTACTTAAAGGTTTATGTCTTGAGGATTGCCTGTTGGTAATATTTCAATACTCAAAATATTTTACTAAGTACCATGGAACACAGAAACGTCTCTTAATGTAAAAGAAGATAACAAAATCTGATAATATAGTCTACTCAATATCATCAATACCTAAGTCAGTGCATGTTTAATTGTAAAATGTGATAATATTAGAATACTTAAACTAGTGTTAAGTGAGGTTGTTAAACTCTTCCTACTTTTATACTTTTGTATATACCTTGTTAATTTATCTTTATTCTATGTATGAATAAATGTGTTTGTACTTGTTATATATGTATATTACTACTACAATAGAACAAGGTGAAGTATGTGAGAAATACAAGATTTTATTATGTTGTGTGTAGTTTTCTAATACTGGCCTTCTAAGTTGTTACTTTTATGTATTACTGCGAATAGGAAATAAGGTTTAACATTACATGGAATGGTATAAATGGAGCTAATCATAAATGATATCAAAGAATGTCCCTACTATCTGATGCATCCTTCTGATCATAGGCCTCCCCTATTGGGTTTTTATCAGTAGTTGCCACGCTATTTTAAGAGAAATGCTGCTGACTATCCCTTGACCATTAAGTTCTCTTTCTCACCTATCGAAGGAAAAAGTAGTATATAGGGGGTAATTTGCATAAAACCATACGTACATACAACCATACAACGTCATCACTTCTTTTAATTCGTTAGGAAGAAGCGACTAGTGGAACAAAGCACAATATCAAATATATGCTATATAAATAGGCTAATAACCTTCTGTTATGGGAAACATTCGTGTATATCAAGAAGGTTGTACAGATAATGTAGAAAATAGATATCAAATAAAATATTATCATAATATGGGCTGTTATCTGTCCACTGCTGAATATAGGCCTCCTTCACAGACTGCCGTAAGGAACTACTGACTTCCTGTAATACATTTGAGATCGTCTCTTTGTCTAGTGAGAGGTCGTTCTACACTGTTTGCTTGTACGGGGTCGCAACACAAGAACCATTCTTCCCCATCGATTGTCGGTTCTTCGATCTTAAACCAAACTTCAAAGTATAAAAAGATCGGTTAGGCTGGTTACCAGCAACAATAACGATAACTAAAATTGTCACAATACAGTTTTCATTAATTTACATCATCCGTTAACTAACCATTGCTGCACATAGGCCTCACTCTATTGGGGGGTTAAACTTTGGAGATGTTGTAAAAGGGACTCTTCTCCCTCGACCATTAACCTCGTCCCTTACGACATTTACGGTAAAAAAAGGTACCACAATATAATATATAATATACAATTACTAATAAAGCAAAGTAGTTTAGATCTATGTTGGTACTCGATATGGCATTTGGTGGAATGTGTCTTTCTGAAACGAGAATACTTAATGCTCTTTCACAAATTTATTTCAGAAAGTTAATCTTGTCAGAAATAATTATAATAATAATAATGCTTCTGCCGGAGGTTAGTTGCCATCTCCTCTTCTTAAGAAGGGAGATGAGAATTTATGTAAAATAAAAAAAAATCAGATAATTGAATGGACATAATGAATCTGTGATAGACACATGAAAGTAGATAGAGAAGTTTAATTATTAATGACGTTATTACACTTGGCTGGTAAAAAAAAAAAGATGTATATTTGACCCACAAACGTTTATGTAGGCGATGATATTTGACATATAAAAGTGAATAAAGTAATCATAATATACAACTTATTCAAATAAATGATTAAGTAATATACCTTTGATATTACGTTTTTGTCATTGCATGATAAATTACGTGCATTACATAAGTCTCGCGTGTTTTATTTTTGCTTATTCAATTATTTACTTTGTGTTGTAGTAATGACTACATAATATTCTAATTATTCGTAAGCTGGGTAACGTAATGTCAGAACAGTAGTCAGACTCTGTCTCTAGTTGAACTTTGAATGGCAGCGAAATTGATGCAATTGATGGCAATCACTAAGTATCTTTACCTTTACATACTTATTATAATGGCAACGCGGACATACCAGAATACCTTGGGCCTCTGATGTGTTGCTGTTTCTGAGTAGTAAGGTGTTATTCTCCTTATACCTTGTAATTGTACAGGCATCACTTTCTTCATTCTAACTAAAACATCGGTGCATGGCAATGACACAGACAGAACAAAAACAATGTCTTCATCTGATTACTCTGATTATTCATTGTGTCTATATTATAGAATATAAAAGATTAGAATAATATAAGAAGATATATATATATATATATATATATATATATATATATATATATATATATATATATATATATATATATATATATATATATTACTATATACTATATGTACTTACTATATTATCCTGAAGAATTTTCATTCCAGTTTAAAAGCAGCATTAAAATCGCATTCATGATAGTAATTATCATCAGATTAGTAGTATCAAATTTTGTTTGAATGGAATCAAACAAAATTTGATACTACTAATCTACACGAGGATTGGAACTTGACCATATTAAGCAGTAGCCTGTGGACTTTCTAAATTGTTATTTCGTAAGATATTATTAAAATACTTATTCTATGCAATTTGTAATATTACAAAAAGTTTATCTAATAACAGATATTGCAATGTCTCTACAATATATTATGTCTCTATAATGTATGAATTGCTTAATTCTTTTTCAGTATTTGATGTTGATATATTACTATTCGTTGTCATAATTTATGGAATTACTTATACGTACAATGTAATTCTGACTATTACTATAGATGGCGGATAAATTTAATTTAAAGAAATGTATTGTGCTTCTTTATCTTTAATTTTATTTTAAACAAACTATAGATAATTTAAAAATTAAGACTATCGCAATCTGTCAATATTTATGTCTATTTCCATAAAATGGAAGATATGAATTATAGCTTTATTTTAATTCTGTATGTACGTAATATATTATTAGTAAAGAAGATATTTTAAAGAAAATATACCTTAATATATATTAAAGATATTAATGGTAGTTTGTCAAGTAATACCAAAATAATAATCACATAGTTAAGAATTGTGTATTCTACTTATATATTTTTTGTTCACTTTCATTGCAACCAATAATCTCGGATGAATGTAAAATTATTTATTAATAAACATAATTCAAAATAAAAAAAAATATTGTTCTTTTTAATTTATTTGTTTCATTTTTAGTCGCAGCTTATAGTTCGTTCAGTTTAGTAAGTATGCAACTATGACATTATCGCCTAAAACAGTAAAATTTGTGGTCATCAAATTAATGAGCAAATGCTAGTTATGTTAATAATATTAAAATTGAGTAAATACTCAACAAATTCAGGAGCTTAGTTTATTTTAGTTTATTTGCTAGATACTCCATTAGTTCGTCAAATGCCACACGTTGAACAGGATCCGCGGGGTCATCGGCGGTTACGATGAACTTACATATTTTGCAATTACCCCTTTATTGGGCATTTGACTGTCCAGTTTCTGATAGCTTTGTGCAATTTTAATAGAACCCTGTTTGTTTAGTATTTGATCGATTTACGCAAATATAATTAGAGACCTCTCGCTTATAAAGTGCTTGCAGACAGTGTTGCAGTTTGATGTTAGAATTTTGCATGCATGTCTCTTCTTCTTATATCTTTCTCAGAGACTAATGCTTTTACAAATATGGAATAAAAGTTCATTATTCACTAAAAGGAGTCTTTATTACTAAAAGCTAAATTGTTTAAAAGTTTTATCAGAGATATGAAATGTCCAAAGTCGCCTACGGGTATTTATTGTTGTATAAGTACAAATTTACATCCACAATTAGATATAGATCTTATTAAGATATATGCTCAATTCTTTTTTTTTTATTGATAAAAAATAGCTGTTTTATTATTAAGTATTAAGATTAAAGACATAAGGTAAAGTATGCGTAAGGTTCACGAAATAATATTCACCCGCATTTTTCTGTAGTTGATACTTGTAAGTGTTTATGGGTTATTATGATATTGTGATATTAATTACTGTAAAGCAGACTGTAATGCTTGGTTGTTAAAATTATCCTAATCTTTAAGAAATACAAAAATCAAATTATCCCTTAATAATACTACGTGTCAAATTTTATAAAAAGAATCTCGAACTACCTTTCAAATTTATAATATTATTTAGGATTCTATTAATCATTTGAAAGTTTCGCGATAGTTCAGATGTTCTATTACAAAGATATGGTAAACACTTTGAGAAATGGTGCTTACAGATTGCGGAACAAAATTACAGTCAGATATCGTCGGGTCAGAGTTGAATCGACATTTTTACTGAGCATATCGATTCTCACAACTAAATTTGCATCGAAAAGATTTTTACTTGAGTTATTATAATTTATATTGAAAAAATTACTCAGTTCAGATTTTCATTTCAATTAGCAGTAAAAAATAAAATAAATTTGAACAATTGTTGAAAAATATAAAATAATAACTTATTATTTTTTTGTGTCTAATTTTAATTTATTTTGATTGTTTATTCAAAATATACAAATAGTAGGTAAAAATGAAAAAAAATGTTAAATGATAATAGAAATTTCGATATAGAAATCAATGACAAATGTCGAGAGATATCAAAAGAATTTGTCTTTTAAGACTTAAATTTCATGATTAAACAGGATAACAGGCGAAAATTTGTAGAAAAACTAATTACCATCTAAGAGACAAGTGAATCAAATATTAATTTGCAAAATGATTAATTTTTTGCAATTCTACTAGGGAAGTAACTTAACAAATTATCTCAGCTTCTCATGGTTGAATATTACCTATGGTTTGGTTTACCGTAAAGTAAATTAAAATATTTAAATTCAGTAATAATAACTTAACTTAAAATAGGAATTTGGAATATTTATGTGTTATTACAATTCATAATAATAGATACGTTATTATCTTCGTTATTGAAAACAGTCTTGATATTAGTATATCTATTGTACACTTTTATCTAACTCCTTACGAAGTATTTAATACTAGCTTTACCCGCGACTCCGTCCATGTAAATGGGATATATTTACTGACCGGGATAAAAAGTAGCCTATATACTTTTCCATCTAATTTAATAAAATTTGATGTACACTAATTTCATAGCGATTAGTTAAACCGTTAAGGCTCTATAAGATAATAAACAAACAAACTCATTTTCACATTTATTATATGAGTAAGGATTATCACTCGTTCTAATAAGAAGTTCTCTTTTATTTAGTTTACTTATGCAAGTTTATCTCCTCAATGAATGTTATTTATTTAAGGCATATAGTCGCCTATTGCCACAGTAGCCAGCTGATCCTTACTTAGATATAAGTAAGGATTATATTGTATAGTGAAACTTCGAATATCATCATCATCATCATATCAGTCGTTAACAGTCCACTGCTGAACATAGGCTTCCCCTTAACTTTACCAGTAGTTACCATGCTTGGCAGGCGCGTTGGCAACTGCAGTTAGACTTTTGGTAATATTTTAAAAAGGACGTTGCTACCCATCCCTCGTCTATTTAGTTCCCTTAGTCGCCTCTTACAACAATCACGGGTAAGGAAGGGGTGGCCTATTCTATGTCTGGACCACACAACATAGCCCAAAAGACGCAAATTCTGAACATAGCTCAGATAAATTTTAATTATATAGATCGTGATACCATATCCTTTTTTAATAAACGAGGAAGGAGTTGTGTCCCCGTCTGCCCTAGCGGTATACGCTGGCGGGGCATCAGTGAAGGATGATAGGTGAGATAAAAAGGCAAATCAGTTAGCCTATCGTGATGAATACACCTGGAATTCATTACGATAGTTTCTACGGGGAGGTCGATCTGATAGGATATATTGCTAGCAATGGGACTGGTAGTCCGTATTACTAACAAACCCTTCCCCCTCAACGTGATACCATATAGGTATGTGTACTATTAAGGTCATATTAAGCTATCATAATATTATTCTATATAAAGTTTTTGGAATTACGTTACAGAGAAGAAAGAATAAACATTTTATTTCGAAATCATTATTCACTGTTGTGTTATCTCTGCAGCTATCTAAGTGTGTTCGAGGAAAATCAGTAAGTTGCGCTGTACGTGCGTCTTCTGACCTGAAATGTGTCTTCCTGTGTAAACGACCCTAAATGTTAGTTTTAACCAGCTTCAAAAAACAGAATCCTTAAATTTCTGAGATATTTTTTTATGTAAATGGTAGGTCGATTTGAAATAATGGATGGTCGATCATATAGAATTTCTCTCTTTACATGACTACCCAAAAAATGAGTATAAAATTTTCAGGGTTCATGTGTGTATGTATATTTCTTTATAACTTCAGAATAATATCTAAATGCCTGAACAAATTTGGATATACGAGGTATCGTTAGGAATCTTATACCATTCAAAGTTAGTTAGGAATCTTACATCTTCTTGTCAAGTAAAATGTTTTTTTGGATAAATCGATTAAGGATCAATACAAAAATAAAAACATTGAGATTAATGTATTAGATAGGTATGTGTCATCCTACTTTTTTTCTAATAAAGCTACTTCTCACCCCTAGACACCAGTCCACTTCCCTGTTACTTTTTTGAAAAATTGTTCATCCCTTTTTAGTTTTTTAAACGTCAATATGAACATGAAAATATCATGATCGCTGTTTTTATCATTGATTTTCTTTTGAAATGATATGAAATTTCCTGATTTGATTCGATGTAGAAGATTGCTACTTTTGCCTTAATTATAAACTTCCTGATACTCAAGCTATGTAAGGGTCCTAAAAGAACATCTAAACTCAAACCTATTTAGATTAGTTTGTCTATTAATTTGACTCGTCCGAAAATAAAACTTAAGGCGTACACGGCTTGCATGCCAGATTTAAGTGAAGAGTGTGATTAATTTTAAATCTAACATCTCCTATTTATCGAATTTATATTTGAGATAATTCATGGCGGCTTTTCAGAAATTTCTCGCATTCCAGGGGAAATTCCGGAAAATAATTTCTTAAAGAACGCCTGAGTTATAGAAGGACATATTTCTGACCTTAGTTGTTTAGATATGTAGACGGTGCCTTAATAGATTATTAGATAATTAAAAAATGAGCAAATTTTGTTATATGTTTCTTTATATTATATTTATTTATAACTACAGATTGGATAAAGATTAAGGTCATAAAATAATATTTGAGTGCTTTAAAATGTACAACTCGTATTAAATTATCAATTTGATTGTTTCATGTGCACGTACGAACATTATTGTTGTGTGTGTTTGTTAGTATGCATGTAAGTGCGCGTTAGCGAGATGAATCGCCTGGATGCGCATTCGCTGGGTCGCACGAAGTTCATAGGTAAAGAAGCAGGTATATAAACATCATGCAGTGTCACCGATCACACACCCGTGGTTATTGTGAGTGTATCCAGACCCTCTGATACTTCCTGCCCTATTTATTACAATGATGGTGAGGAAATATCTTTCTATCTTACTAATCCTTATTAATATTATAAATGTGAAAGTGAGTTTGTTACTTTGTTAGCTTATGACACCTCAATAAGTTGTCATGCAATTTAGTATTCACCTATTTGGGATGGAAAAGGAGATACATAGTTTTATTACCAGTCTATTAAAATGTATCGATCACGCTTACGAACTGGCGGCATATTTAGTGTTCTAAAAGATGAAAAATTATAAATTTTTAATTATTAAATTTTTCATAAGTAAATATTATTTTTTAATCGTAACAATAACTTAATTAAGTTACGAATATTGTCTTCAAAATTACTCTATTAGTTTCTTATTTGTTAGCGCCCAAATAGTTGATATTCTCCACAAATTATACTGTACGAAAATAAATTTAGTAAGTCATAATTAAAATTGTATGTTAATCACGTTTAGGATCTTTCGCCTTTGTATCGTTAGAGATTTGCTACGGTTACCGTAAGGGCTCTAAATGAAAATTTGACGGGCTAGAAAGTGCGCTGATACTTGAATTTGTCATAGAAAAGGACCTTATCCATATTTAATATTTTTTACCTATTCGGTTATGAATATTCAAATATTACTGAACATATTGAAGTTGTTAATATTTCTGTGAGTTTTAAATAGAGTTTTTATTAAATTCTATATATGAATGATTATTTTTTTATATAAATTTAACATTTAAAATATTTTATTCATGTATACAAATGGATTTGTACAGTAAAGTAAAATATTTGAATCCATAATCGCAATTGGCTGTAAAATTTATTAAAAGCTTTTTTATTTCAATATTTCATCCTCGTCAGACTAGGAAAGTAAAATATGGGTATGCAATTACTATGAAGACGCTTTTAATTTCGTGACAATATCACGCCTGTATTGTGGACGTGCATGGAAAATTAACAACATCGCCATACAATTGTATACATTTTGCATTTTTAATATACTTACCTTGACGATAAAATTGTGCCGTGTCGTGTCGTGCCGTAGTGGTATTATAAAAGCGTCCAGTGGCAATTACATTCAAACTCACGAATGATGACAAGGTCTTATTGATTAGACAATTAGGCATATTATCAAAAATATAATAAATAAAATAGATATGTTCAATAATAATTAAAAATTGATTAATCACTTATCTGAAAAGACAATTGTATCTTTATATTATTATTTAATAAGTGAAATAATTTAACAAATATTTGGGCTAATTTGTTTAGGATATCCTGTAATTACATGATAAATAATGATATTTTTTTTATACCAAGGAGTTGGCAAATAAGCATACAGCCCGCCTGATAGTAAACGGTTACTGTACAATTACGGTAGTCTATGGACGCCTGTAACGTTAGTATATCACGTGCTTGTTTCCGACCCTGAAGTAACTTTAATATATCCCTTTATAAAGAAAGCTATATTGTTGCCTCCAAGTTAATGATTAAGGAGAAACCAACGACTTCTCAATAATAGACTAGTAGAGATAACTGTAAATTCGCCTTTTGAATAAAATGTTTATTTGTTAATAAATTTTAATAAAATGTATACGTCTAGATTTTTTACAGTATTGTACTTTCTTAATAGACTTGTTCTCATAATTATAAAACTAAATAAACCTTCAAAATGTGAGAAATGATTTTATAAAATTCCAACAAAATATTAATTACAATAATGACTTAATAGTCACGAGACAAGTAGACACGCGATGTATGAATAATATAAATTAATTGCTGACATTGTTTGTATCTATAAAAAAAAACTTGTAGTAAACAGTACCTATTTATGTAAGATGTTCAAATTTTATATTTAATTGACAAAGCATTAACGATTTTATTTACTCTGAGTACATAGTAAATAGTAAAAAAATCCTAAAGAAATATTAGTTAGAAATGAGCAAAAGTTTGAGCTTTAATATTGACTTATACCTTTTGCTTCGGCAAATTTCTTATTGTTTTTGAAGTTGTTACAATGGACCACGAAAATTACAATATGTTGGTCGATTCCTGAATTTCGCTACAGGTTCCCATTAACTTAGATAATTATTTATGGAAAGCTTATGCATATACCTACAGTTTTTATTTATATTATATATATTTGCAAGAAAGTTCGTCCTACAAGTCTGTAGGTAGCTATTTGATCACAAGGCGCGGAGACGACGAGATTATTGTCAAGTCACGCCATCCTTTCTTTCCTTATGTCTGACACAATTTTCTACACACCCATGTCACGTTTCATTTTGAATTACAGCGTGAATAAGGCGCTGCTTGAGAAATAATATTAAAAAGCAACATTTATTTTTCATATTTGCAGTTAGGTACTCAAGGCATGAGCTAAATTGTATGAAATTTTGTACAGAGGTGAACTATATTTAAAAATAGCGTTATTGTATTAGCCGTTAACTGTATACTGTTGAACATAGCCTCCCCCATAAGAGGGTTTTTACGTGGGCGAAAACTAATAAATCAAGCAGCAACTAATTCAAAGTTGGTCGAAAACTTAAATAAAGAAATTGAAAAATAACTACATTGATTATAATTTTGCACAGTAAAGACTACAGTTTTCAATTTAATTTTATTATTTAAATATACTTATAATACAGTGTTAACTTGTCAGTTATCATAAATTCTAGGTACCTTAAATGTACAATGAAAAGGTTTTATGATTTGCAATTTTAAGTCAGTACAAGTTAAGGTGCTATGACTTTCAGTACAATTTATAATGAACCAAACAAAATGTCAGTGAACTCGTATACTGATTGACATTATACACATGAAATTACTGTATAAAATTTTATTGTGGAATATTTATAAATGTAATGACGTAAAAATATGGATAAGAGCTAGAGTTCAGAAGTGAATTATAATAATAATTATATATACCGAAAGAAATATACATGAAAATGAATTAAATATACGTCGTAATTACATATTTCTAATTTATATTTTCTTCCAGATTTGCAATGAACAAGTGTCCCTAATTTATTTGAAATAAAATAAATTCTACTTTTAAAATGTATAAATTAGACAACATTATGTCTTACGAAATAAAACTAAGGTTTACTTGTTGTACGTACGGTTATTACCATATTCACATATCGGATGCGGCTACATAAATCTACTGCGGTTTGTCGTTTCGACACGATTCCTTTATGGTCGTTTCATTGTTAGCAAGGAAAGTACTTTCGACTTTAGTTCTTCCGCTCTATTGCATTTCCGCATATATTGCACGCATGTTATGCCAACCTTTTGAATAATTTATGCAGTCCGAATAGGCGATTTCATTCCAGAGACGTGTGATTGATATTATAATTGATAATGTAATTACAATCAATACTTTAAAAGAGGAGGTTCTAATTCCACTACTTTATGTTATGTTATGTAATTTCTTTGCCAATAATTTTAGATCGATTTGACGTTTCTATTTTAATCGAAAGACTTTACTTTTAAAGTAGCCATATAGTAAAACAATATTACAATGCAATGTAAAAAAGCAGTTATTTAATAAAAATCTTATATTCGTAAATTTAAACTGGAAAACGATAAAGGTATCTACGAATATCTACTTGCTTACTTTTAAGTTAGTAGTTATTTTTTTGATGTATAAAATTGTAGGTTGTTATTTTATAATGAAAGAGGTCTCTATATTATTCACATTATTATTATTATTATTATTTATTGATCTGTAAATAGTTTTGTTATACCTACTTTGTAAAAAATTAATCAAATAAGCAAATAATTTGCGTACTAGATACTTATATGATTAAATCAAGAGCTGGGTTTGAGATTGTTATACATTTTATACTAGGTGTAGTAGTATACCTGGGGGGAAAGGGATTGTTAGTAATGAAGATTAAGAATCTCATTGCTAGCAATATACCCAACCAGGTTAACCTCCTCGTGGTTTCCCCTGGAAACTACCATGGTTAATTCTTGATGAATTCATCATGATGGGCTAACTGGCCTGTTTTCATTCTCATCTATCACCTTTCACTGGTGCTCCGCCAGCGTATCCCGTTAGCGCAGGCGCGGCTACCATTCCATTTTCACCCATAAAAAAAAATTCCATATGATAATATAGACTAGCAGTAGTATATTTAATAGTTATTAATAAAATCACATGGTTCCTGCCTTACATGTAATAGATACTACTCAGAGAATTCATTTTGCTATAATACATCAGTTAGGCGCCATTGTCTGCTTTAAATATTAAATGCCACAATGTTTTATCATTATTTAAATAATTGTATATATTAATTTTCCTTTTTTTATAACCAGCTGTAATCTGCAACTTATCCCACTTACATTTAAATAAATCAAAGAGATGTAGGTAATCTAAGAAATCGTTAAATTTTCTTTAAAAAAAGCTTACAGTATTTGTGAGAGATTAAGAAAATTGTAGAATGTGCTAGAAGTAAATGTACTAGTATATCTAAAATATAATAATTTATATTTATCATTTCAGATCTCGGTGTTTTTATTGTTTTTGGTTGGGGTTTATGCAGCGACACCACAGATACAGCAACCAAATGACCAGATTCCAATCATTCGATTCGAATCGGAGGGACCGAATGTAGACGGTTCTTATAAATGGCTGTAAGTGTTGTTTTGCGGTGTTTAATAAATTAAATATCTATTATTATAAATAAGAAATTGAGTTCATTAGATATTTCTTGACGCTATAGCAGTTTAATTAATCTAAAATAAATAAATTAAAGAAGCACAGTTTATCTCCATATATAAATATGTCTAAGTTATAAAGACGAAGTCGGGAGAACAGGATACTAGCCACTTCTATAATATTAAATGTTAAAATACCTTGTAACTATTATGATATAGTATTTTTATTAGATATAGGTTTAGGTGTTACATAACAGACGTACCTACTGTTGGGTAAAATTGAAATTATTTTTCGGCCATTTCAGTCTGTATAGAATTTAGAATAAAGTATAATAAACATACAATAATAAATACTTATTCTTATTCGTATTTTCCACCCTTTGAGATTTGATGCGATAGTAAATATATAAATTTATTATAATTTCATTACACAAATTATTGAGACATTCTGTTTTGCTTACAAGTCATTAATTTACGTAAATGTAATTTGTAAGTACTTTATAATTCTTCAAGAAGAAGGGTCTGATTATTATCTATCTGATTTGATCAGATAATTTAAAATATTTGGCATAGTTATTGCGGTATAATGCCGCCGGCGACTTAGTTGGTATTGCCATCTAGCGAAACGTATTGATCTACCGTGGTGTATTGTTAATGGCTCGAATTCTTTCCTTCCAGATATGAGACGGGTAATGAAATTAATGCTGAGGAGTCCGGTTATGTTAAGAATTTTGGTAAAGGAGAAGGTGAGGAGGTACAGGTTGCAGAAGGAAAGTTCAGCTACAAATCTCCAGAGGGCGATTTAATCGCACTCACGTATATTGCCGATGAGAATGGTTTTCAGCCACAGGTAATATTATTGTCATTATTACCATACTATTAGAATTATCAATGGAAGTGAGATTTTGGATATTGTATGTACGCATATATTTTCACCAGAGGGAGACTTTGTACAAAAGTCGATTGCACGGGTACCTCTGCCCCATTATGTGTTTCTACCGTGAAGCAGTTGTGTTTGCATGGCTGTGTTTCGGTTTGAAGGGTGGGATATGGCGTGAATTTACTGGGTACGGAGGAATAACACCTGAGTTCTCAGGAATGGCAACGCATGGGGGGTATCATGGGCGAAACAGTATACTCTGTTATGTCCATGGTGCTGCTCATGTCTCTAGACAACGGTTACCTTTTTCCATCAGGTGGGCCGTCAGCTTGTTTGCCATTCTAAGTTGTATAAAAAAAAAATATTATATTTTATTTTTACATATATCTAAATATTATGCAGTAACATAGTTGCTGAATAATTATGAAAATAATACTTGATGATAATGGGAGATAAAGAGATGCACACGGTTTCTTACTAAACACATAATAAACAAATAAGGCTTAGTAGTATGTATTTGTGTAATTTGAATATTATTGTGACTTTAATATTATTCCAGTAGATCTAGAGTTATTGAGGACAAACAGGAGTGTGTCGTAATCATTATAGATTCAAATAAAAACTTGTATTAATGATTTTAGATTAAAAACTTGATTTTTCTGCGGTGTTTATGAAATAACATAGTTGTTTCCTGGCTTGCGAAAGCATATTTTTTGTCATATATATTTAAATGAACCACATTAATCCAAGTACGTCGGTAGATCTGTCCCATTCGTGTTTCAACCGTGAAGCAGTTGTGTTTACATGGCTGTGTTTCGGTTTGAAGGGTGGAATATGGCGTGAATTTACTGGGTACAGAGGGATAACATCTGAGTCCTTAGGAATGGCAACGCGTGTTGGGTATCATGGGCGAAATATTACACTCTGTTATGTCCTTGGTACTGCTCATGTCTATAGGCGACGGTAACCACTTTCCATCAGGTGGGCCGTCACCTTGTTTGCCATTCTAAGTGGTATAAAAAAAAGACTTGCTCCATGGAACATTAGATTTTAATATCGTCAGAATATGGGCACGTTCAGTGTTACATTCAACGCACTGACAATATCAACTAATTTCTCTGAATACCCTATTAGGGTTAAAGTAATGAGCTTATGAATAGAATTACTCAATAAAAATCTATAACTTTGTATTATAAATAACATAATGTCTTAAGATATGCCTTAAGATATGTAATAAGACATTTAGTAGTGATGGCAGTCGGAAATAATTATCATTGTATAATTACTGCTATTATTGTTATTGAAAGACGAGTTTTTCCAGGCAGAAAAGCCTGTGATACGGCGACCTTTCCATGAAATAATTGATTACTCTTAACTGCAGATGAAGTTCTAAATTGTAGGGCTCCTTAAGGGTAGCTTAAAGTTTTAGGTCCGTGAAATAATCCGAAAAGGGGATCAAGTAGATACAAACTCTAATATCAAAATTATAGTTCATTAAGTGTTCATATATAGACGGTACTTTCAAAAATACTGAAACACGTACAGATTGAATATGCATACTATGGATAGTAAATTATCACAATAAATAGACTTCATCTAAAGTGAAACGTGAAACGGGAGAATTGGTCCACCAGATGGCCTGTCAGCTACCTTGCGTTTAATATAGTGGAAAATAATAATAATAAAAGCAATAAATAGTAATAAAAGCAAATAAATAGACTTGTTCCTTATTGCTAATTTTGAAGGAAAATTCTAAAAAAGATAAAACTTATTTATAGACCATAGCAAGCATTAATATTCTTAAAGAATTAAACTAAAAAAAACAATGTTAATAAAATGAAACATACGAGTATATTTTCTCCGTTACATAATTTGTCCGTGGGTGCAATTACATCACACCATAAAAGGATCCGACGACAGTGAATCGCTCACACTTATCTTATTGTGCAATGACACACTAAATAAAAATATCTTTCAATAATACCCACTAAAACATTCTTATTCAACATATTTTGCCGTCGGCCAAAAAGCCTTGACATATTTCGAAATTTACCACTATCTTTCCACACTTACATATTTCATGGATTAATAGTGTGTAACCAGTAAATAGCGTCCAGAATATGTAAATTAAAACTTGATAATATCAAGCCACGGTCTTTTTTGTCATCAATATGACATAATATTTCAGTGGAACTACATGGGGAATTTCCTAAGTTATGGCCCATTGTTGAGTCAATACTTTTAAATGACTTCCAAAAGAAGGAGGTTGTCAATTCATCAAACTGTTTTTTTTTTGTAACTGCATGATGCGATACGTGGCCAATTGTGAACCAATTTTCATAATTGCTATTGCAATCGGTAGGGGTTTATCACACATTGGTTTTATATTACTTAATTTTTTGATAATTGAAGTTATTGAAAAGTATTGTTTATTTTGAAGCCAAATCTTCTTATGGCATGCGTTTTGTATTCAAATATTTTTAACGAAATGTGTGTACCAAAACGTCTAGACATTCATTACTAAGGATGTATATGATTACGACCGAAGTTTTTTTTTTGTAGAGCAAAATATCTTTGTACTGTTTGTTCAAATACTATTTTTATGAATTAGGTATATATTTATCAAGTATTTTGTAGTTTTTTTAGCGTATATGTACAATAATTTGTTTCAATTAGTCGTAACAGTTCATATAATAGAATCTGAGTAGACAGACTTAATTTGTCAAACAAAAATAACAAATAAAGTAAAGCATTTATTAGTTAATTAAAATAAATTTAATAACGGGAGATAATAAATAAATTCCTATACAATCACCTTTTAGCTAGTATGTTAACAGTAGGCTAACAGTTCTTTCTTATTGAGAGAGATCTATGTCTAGCAGAGTGACGTTAATGGGTTATATATGAGTAATAAATTTTAATATTGTTCATAACAGACTTTGTGAGCCTTGACTCATCAACAAATGTCATTTTTTTATTATGTAAACTGAATATTTGAAATCTGAATATGTCATCATAGTCTATTGGTCCACACTATTGTGTAGCAAATTGGTATTAAAATATTAGATACATAAGATATAAAAAAATTACTGTATGTAGTATTTGTATTGGCAATATAATATAATAATATATTGATTAAAATCAATCGACTACTATTAAATGCAAAGTAAAAGAAATATTGACTAGTCCTTTAAATTTCTCATAATAAAAAAAAATAAATACTGCACTTTATAGGTATAAAAAGATAAATTTCTAATATTTAAAGATATCTAGGTGTCAATGAATAGTAAAATCTATTATGATAATATATAATGATCAGTTTTGAAATGTCAGAATAGTCTTGAAGAATTCATGTAATTTAAGAGGGTAATGTACTTATCAACTCGCAAAAAAAATCTTATAACGTTGACCTTTTCATTTTTTATTTTTAACGTAATGGGTATTATTTAATAAACAAGGAAAATGTATGCACATTTGAAGGCGAAGACAAGAATCAGACAATATGTCGTCGGTATCTTCAAACTGTAAATGTTGTCATAAAATTTACATTAATGGTCTTTAAAAGTGAAGTAAAATAATGGGAGTGGTCGCATGATAAACTCAAAAAGTGCCTAGAATCTGCCTGAATCATTTACATTGCGTAAAGTGCCATAGAAGATGTCTGAACTGTACGGTCGGTACTTGTTGGCTAACGTGTAGAAATGTCGATGTAAAATATCAAACATCGACCCGTGACCTGCTCTTGGGAAATGGGAAGCCTTTTAACAGCATCAATGTGACATTGAACAACCAATAAATATAATTGTTACGTTATATTGAACTGATCTGACAGATTAGTGTTACTATACAGTAACCTCACTCAAACCGGTAGCGAAAGCGGCGTAAAAAATTTAAATAATTTCTGATTGTATGCAACTATGAAATTTTAGTATCCATTGCTAATAGTAAATTATAATAATCTAAAGAGGCTACCTAAATAACGTAGGTGATAAACAGAAAATAATAATTGTTATTATTATATTTTTCTTTGACGTTTCTAGTGTCACACAAAGTTATTGGCGTTATACATTATTATTTTATTGGTGTATTACATCATCATAATCATAATATCAGCCTTTAACTGTCTACTGCTGAACATAAACCTCCCCATTGGGGGTTTTGCCAGTAGTTGTCATGATTGGCAACCGCAGTTAGAAAGAAAGGGTGGCCTATTCTATGCCAGGACCACACAGAACGATGGTTTATTACATGCTATATTAAAATATAGAACATATTAATTAAAATTAAAATAACTTCTTTAACCGTAATAAAATTGAGATTGAGATGGTAGCAAATCTTGTTAATTATAAATTTAACTTTTTTCAACTACTTTGTCTAATTTGGAAGTTATAAAAAACAAGAGAATTTATTTTCCTTCTAATCTAGTAATTTTTTTTGTGAAAATGTGCAAACAGTATTATAAAATGCTTTAGAAATGCTCACTTGTACTACAAGAATATTTTTACGAAATACACTTTCAAGCTTGAACACTATAGTTCAAGATAATAATTGGCATAGCAATGTTGACGCGACGGTATTATAATAATTATCAATTTATTAATACTTAGAGCTTAAAATATGTAGTATGTAGGAACATTTTTACAGACATCAGAACCATATGTCTCGATTGAAACTAATTTATTTCGCTTCCTCCATATTCAACAATCCTTTCATACTCGCTCGCCGGTTATGGGTACTTTGGCCCATTTTCAGCACATCGGCTATTTAGTCACATACGTTTTCTTTGCTCCTTTACCCAAAACGGTAGTCCGGTAGAGATTAGCGATAAAACCACCAATAAAGAGTAAATAAATAAATTTGTTCTTCTAGGGCGGCACCTTCATTCCATCTTTCATGATTATTCCATTCTCTAAATGGCCGAACCAATCAATATTCTATTTTCGATTTTTATCACTACATCGTCTTAAAGTTCATACTTCTCTCTAATCATACAATTTCTCACTCTATCTTCTAGCAGAATCACTCCCTGTTTTCTGCCATACATTAAGGATATTATCTGATTTTATTCTTACCTTGATTCTGCACTCTTATACTAAACACCATTCTTCTTATTATTTAAGCCTATATTTTCTGTATTCTAGAACTTGTACTATTCTAGTTCTTGTTCTATATTTCTCGTATTTGTTCTTTGTGTATAATTTTACTGTAATGAACTGTATTGCACGTAATGTATATTTAGTATATAACATACTCATGTATAACACTAAATATTTAATCATAATTTATTAATTGTATATAATGTGTGAAAATATTTAATTATTTTTATATACATTTCTTTCAGGGTGAACATCTACCAACTCCGCCACCCATTCCACCAGCCATACAAAAAGCCCTAGATTACTTGAAGACTTTACCACCTAGTGCTGTGGGATCTGCTACTAATATTCAACCACAATATCAAGCTTCTCCTTTCAAACCTAGAGGAAGATTTTAATTCATAATTAAATAAAAGTAATGTCAGATTTCTAGCCATATACCTATGTAAATTATAAAAAAACAATGCGTATTGTGTTAGTGCATAACATGAATATTATTAATTTGTTAACATCTAAAAATTTAAAACACAAAGTGTTGACAGTAATATAATTTGATACTTCTTATAAAATATTTATAATAAAATAATAGAAAGTGAAAAATATATTTAGGATACTAAATAATTTGATGTGCATTTAAACTATACGATTAGGCTAAATTGAATATTATTATTAATTTATAATTATATCAGAGAAAAGTGTGAAATAGGGTATAACTTTTAATAAACTTATTCATTAGTTAAGTCAGTTCAAAGCTATATATGAAAAAATAAAATATACTTATGGAATATAATATTGTGTATTTAATTTTTTTATTAATGTTCTATATCGCAGCGGTTTCCTATTCAGAGAAATTGGAGGATAGATTGATTAAGGTTATTGAACGATGAAAGACGTATTCATACAGAATTAACCAAGATGGTTTCCAGAGGGAACCGCGTGGAGGTCGACCTAATAACGTATATTGTTAGTAATAAAGCTGTTCGATCCCTATTAGTAACAATCATTTTCTTTCAATCTATCGACCTTAAACAACTGACAGACTTACTTCAATACACATTTAAATACTTTAGTAAACCAATGCAAATACATTCATGATTACAAATATTTGTTTTGTGCGGGGTTTGAATTTGAGATCATTAGAAGATAATACGATGTGTTAAACTATTACATTAATAATTACCTACAACTAGAACTAGAATCATGCCTCCAATCACCCAGTTAGAAGCTACACCGAACATAATTTTTAAACAGAGGAAGCAGGACTAACACAATCATGTGATACCTTTTAGAATTCACTTGATTATAAAACATGGTGACTACTAATTAAGGAATAATCTCAATTTTGACTAGTTTCAAGTAATTATTTTTGACTAATTTTTACCCGCAACTTCGTTCTCATGGCTCGGTTATATTAATTGACTGGGATAAAAAGTAGCATATGTCTTATTTCTTTCGATAAAGAGCTTGTAGATCAAATTTCATGACCTTTGATCAAGTTATAATGAATAAAAAAAAAACAGTTATTTTCACATTTTCAATTATTAAGTATAAATTAATTTTTTTTTGCTTGACTTAGATAAACGAGTATAATGCAAGCTTCTTTAATTCAAATAGACTGTCGGCTTGTTTGTGTTCCTTCATGATTTAATGCCTTGATAGTTCCAGTCACATACCTATCAAAACGCAAAAACTACTTGTATTTTGTACGTGAACTGCATTTTACAGCTGGATAGTTAAGAAGCTATTTACAAACATATGTATACACTTATAAGATAAATGATAAATAGTCGTACCAAGCTCTATTCCTGGTTTATTTTACATTTAGTAAGCAGTTCAAAGAATTCTGATCACGTACTAAAATTTTACAAGAGTACTTAAATGAAAAATAGGATTTCTAAATGCAGGATCAAGTATTATTAAATATTTTCAAATACCAAACTCAAATACGCCCTCGTATGTATCTGCATGCTTAATGCACTCTCTTACCATGTGTTTATATGTAAATTTCTTTATACTATAGTCGAATAAGTTAATATCATGAAATTGATTAACAAATAATACTCTGCAACTGTTATGAAATTTAACAAGGTCATGATATATTTGATTTGAATGCATCAGTGTTAACAAATTTTTTAATATGAGAAATAATATATTAGTCATATACGCAGTTTCGGTCCTGTTACAATTTACTAATCTCATTAATATTATAATCGCGGAAGTTTTTAAGGATGAATGAATGGATGGTCATAAGGATGGAGGTATGGTTACTCTTTCATGTAAAAATCACTAAACGGATTTAAATAAAATATGGTACACAGGTACATATTCTAACTTAGTATATAGGATAATCACCGTGTGGTCCTAACATAAAATGGGCCATGCTTTCTTTCCTGTGGATGCTGTAAGAGGCGACTAAGGGGACTCAATGATCTAGCGATGGACAGCAGCGTCCCTCTTAAAACATCACTTAATCCTAAATGCGGTTGTCAACCCGCCTGACAAAAGTGGCAACTATTGGCAAATCTCCCTTATGGGGAGGTTTATGTTTAGTAGTGGACAGTTAGCGTTATGATGATGATATAGGATAATTAGGTACTGATCAACGCGGGCAAATACGAGGGAAATAACTGGTAATATTATAAATGGGATTTTTTTTTATAAATATTTGGTTATTTGTATGTTTGTTACTCAAACATGCTTAAACGGTTGAATAGATTTGAATTAATTTCGGTATTTAGATACTTAATATACGAGTATATGATATTTTAAATACTGATTTATACAGGTAATCCTGTAATAAACTATTAGTATTATGTAATATCACGTTATATGTAATGTTTGGTTTAAAACTTATAAGTTTAGCTGTGAAATTGCAATAAAATACTATTATAGTTATATATACATATGTAAGCAAAGAGTTTCAAACAATAATTGTTATGCGTGTAACATGGATTACTAGTATTAGATATAATTTTAGTCTTGTTACTAAAATTTTTCTTAAAGCGCTAATGACGTCATGGAATATTGTGTTAATATCCAAATTCTATCCTAATATAGTACGTTATATCATCGGCAAAACGAAATTGCATGCGTGCATATTCGTAATTGATATTTAAACCATCATTCGCTCTACAGATATTTGAAAATTCTTTTTTGTTTTATTATAATACTGTTGGTACAGTGGAGATGTTTCAAGGTCAGTATGTCCTCCACTTTTCTGCACTCTGATTGCTTTTGCACATTGTATTTTTAATTTGACAAACATCGTTAATTATACGTAAATACAATTACACAAAAAATAAACTATCGTATTACTTGAAGCAGATCAAAATACATAAGCAAGAGATTATTTCAGAATAGTTAATACCCGATTAAACTAAAAAATACATACATATTGAACAATGTTTTCGATTTATACATATTTTATTCTGTATATATGTATGTATACAATTAAATTAGTTATAAACCTTTAATCACATTATCTGGATTCCATAGTGGTTAGCACAAGATTCACTTAGGTTTGATCGTAAAATATTCAATATTATATCAATATTATACTAACACATCGATTTCCAAATAAGTAGGTGATCTTAGATACCTAATAAACGCTACGTATCACAAATTATGCTTAAGAGGTTGCTAAATAACGTGTAGGAGTATTCAGTACAAGTATCTATAACCCTTAATGGTTCCTAATTTATTTAATAATAAGTATTTGTACTAAAATCAGTGAGAACTAGCTGAGGCGTGGTTCTCATAGAAATTCCCATAGATAATATTCATTCAATACATAATTTATGTATTTGTGTTAATAGATATTAATTTATCTACGGATACATCACTTAATTATGTGTGATCTGATTCATTTGACGTTTATAATATATTGATTCGTTATGCTATGACAATTTTATTTAATCCTGAGTTTTTAATGCTAAAAGCTTTCTCTCCCAGTCAACCATAGGGAAGTGTCAGAATACTCGAATGCGGTACTAGTAATTATTAATATACATACATACTAAAATTACATATATAAACGAACTGCCTATTCCTTGCCTATAATTTCCCTTAGTTGCCTTATACGACATCCAATATAAATAAATTGACTCTTTTCTATGCTGAGATCACACAATCAACCATTGACAAAAGAGATCACGCTTATAAAAAAAGGGTTATTTGGTGAAACCCGACATATGTATAGATTTAATTAAATTTTAAATATTGCAGTTGTGTTTAAATGTCTGTGTTTCGGTTTGAAGAGTGGGATATGGCGTGAATTTATAGGGTACAGAGGAATAACACCTGAGTCCTCAGGAAATGGTCAGGTCCGCATGGGGGTAATCATGAGCGAAACAGTATACTTTGTTATGTCCATGGTATTGCTCATGTCTATAGGCGACGGTTATCACTTTCCATCAAGTGGGCCGTCAGCAGTTTGCCATTCTAAGTTGTATAAAAAAAAACATTTTTTTAATTCGCACACATGCGCGGCTTCTATTAAAAGCTATGTAAAGCGTGATTAATATGAAAAATCAGTATCGGTAGTCATTCATAGTTCCAACAATTTCAAAATTGACGAGATATTAATATTAAAAAAATATTATTATTTCATATTTGTATCTTTTTTAAACCTAAAATAATTTCTTTTGAACAATTTATAAACGACGTAATTTAAAAACTAATAGACCTTATTGTTAATAAGAGATGGGAATTATCGCAATCATTTAAGTAAACTGTGATAATTTACCTGGGATATCTTGATATTTTGACCAGGTTACGCCGGCCGTGGTCACGACTCTCTTATAAACCATAAACCATGCAACGCAAAAGTCTAAAAATAAGTCCTTACTGTATCCTAAAATGTAATACAGAATAAATACTTGTATTTTATTCTACATAGATACGTGTTGTATATATGATGTATTAATATTTAAATTGCATTCATAAACATTTATCGAAACTATAAAAATGATGAATGTGGTTGCTTACGTTTTCAAATCTTATTTTGCATTTGCGAAACCAATTAACCTAATGTTCATAGGCAGTGAAAACTATATTTTATTAGTGTAAAACACCTGTCTGCTTATTGGAACTAATAATTGCATATTTTATCCACATAGTGTAAATTGGTGCACTTTAAATTTATTCACATATGTTTACATGTGATATAATATTTTGCTTTACATAAAAAAGAGTCGTAAAACGCAACAAAATGAATATGAGAACAATAGTAGTAGCAGAGGTTATTGATTGATATATATGGATTAAAATTGAGGGAGAAGACTTTTTGGAAAAACACACATAAAATATAAAGAAACAGAAGCTCGCTTTTTTAAATTATTTAATAAAAACTAATCGAATTTTAGTTCATCAGCAAAATACATAACTAATATATAATGAGCTTTCTGTAAAACTTTTATTCATTATATTTAAAATATACGTGTATAAAATATTTCTTGATTCATTGGTATATTTGGTCATTAGTTGTTTTGTTTTTATATAAAGTATACTACCTGCTAGTATTTGGACAATTTCATATAATGGAAACTTTTACACATTTTTATTGTGATCACAATCTAAGCGCTAAGTTTAAATGAAAAGCTAAATTTAAAAACCAGGTTTAACGTATAATAGTTTAATCGCACACCGGACAACTCCGGTTTACAAAAATGGCCGGTTTTTATTTGTTATCTTTTTATAAGCGTTGGTTTAAACAAAACATTTTTCGTTATTGATTCATTCTTCATATATCGACATGGTTTATTTATTCAAGGTTCGATCTTTTTATATTTACAAGGTCTTTATTTTTTATTTTAAGAGCAAAAGCCACATATTTTTGCGTAGAAAAGATCGTATATAGATACCCAATTTGGAATGAGACTCCTAAATGTTCATCTTTTCGATAATTGATAGTTTCATAAATGTAAAGTAATAGGTATTTATTGGCAGATTGATTAAGTTTACTTAATATAACGATTTTGGTGATTTGCATGAATATCAAATTTATCTATATATATCACAAACCTGTAACTACATCGAGTGTGCGTAATCATACAAAAATTACTTTGGTTATCATGGTAACATAGCACTTAATTTAACATATGGGGTAATATTTAATACGCCAAAAGACCCAATTTTATGGAAAAATACAACAATTGACCCTGCGAATGACGTCGTAAGCATAGTTAGTTAAAAATAAACTTGTGCCACATTTATCGATTTCTTATATATACTTAATTGAAAGAGTTACGTCAATCTCATAAAGAATTTTAAAATAAGTATTTATTGATTTCTTTATTTTTGTTTCCATCAACTGATTATGTACTTGCATGCCTGTGTTTTTTTTTATACGACTTAGAATGGCAAACAAGCTGACGGCCCACCTGATGGAAAGTGGTAATCGTCGCCTATAGACATGAGCAGTACCATGGACATAACAGAGTATACTGTTAGGTTTGAAAGTTGGGATATGACTGTAAAATTATAATGTACAGAGACAACATTATTGTCTTCAGAAATGATGAGACATGAAATGTATATGGATCGCAGTAAATTATGTGATATCCGTGGTTTTGGTCATGACTATATGCTACGGTTACTATTTTCAGTTAGATAAACTTTAGAGTTAGATACTTTTAGAGCTTCCTTCTTTTTTTAAACTTCACATTCACTTACACATTCTACGTTGCGTGAAAAATATTAGACATAAAATTCTTATTAGTAATATGAATATGAGTTTGTTTGTTTGTTATTTCTTGGTACCTTAATGGTCCAACCAAATATTATGATATTTTAATTACCTGTAGTATTCAAATACTTTCGGCTTGAGCCGAAGAAAGACATGAAAACACATTAAGCTTCTTTTGATCTTGATCAAGCGAGTAGTTTTAGTAAAATCTACTTAAAAAAAATCTAAATAATATAAATTTGAATTTAAGTTTTACTACATATTGTTGTAGTTTACAATCAGGTATTAAATACACAAGTACGGTTTTATAATTGTAATATTTTTTCTTACGACTTTAACTAGAACTAACAATTTAAGAATTATTAAATAGGCATAACATTATTTAATTACTTTATCAGTGTCAAAATATTCAAAAGAAAAAAAAATATATTTTTCACTTATGTTACAATAATAATTATGTTATAATAATTAAGTTCTGCTATGGTATTAAGAACTGAGTAGGTACTTATATTTTGCAATTAAAATGTATAATTTATATATGTAAATAAAGTATATAAAAATTTTTGCTGAAAATTCAAGATACTGTTCAAACATATGCCACTCCTTTGACCCAAAGCCTGCACAGACGCATCGTACTCTAATTTCAAGATGCGCTAGACGTTTCGTATAAAAGCCAACGCGCTCAATCTGAATAATCATTCTCATCACACATTCGCACAAGTTCATCTATTCACATTTTGGTAAACACAAAAATGAAATCGGTGAGTGTGATCACAGTCAAGTGTTGAATTTTTCAGTCATTTTAATATTTGCATTTTTAGAGAAAAAATAAATAATACTAATAACATAATATTAAGTATAAAAAATTAAATTATCCATTAATTATCATTATCATATCAAAATTTTTGTATGGATAATTTTATAATTCAGTTTTGAAATATTTTTTTTTAATAAATGACATTAATACTTAGACCAATATAGAATAATCTGACTGGCAGTTCAACGCATAAACAAAACCGTTGGGCATAGAAATGTATTCTACTTTAAAAGGATTTTCGTAATATTCTCACGGGATTAGAAAATAATGAATTCTATGCTGGTACAGCTGCTAGAAATAATTGGTTTTTATAATAAGTACTATAAAAGCTAATATTGATTATATCAAAACATAAATGAAAACTAGAATAATTTAAAATCATATTTATAGTATGAGTTTTTCAAAATATCGAGAACGTAATATTTCTTAAAGTTTTGTGTATTTGAAGTATATACATTTTTTAATATATAATTTTCAGTAGTTCGCTATTTAAGGATTTTTAGATATAATGATATGCTAATTCATATCAGCAACATTGTAACAATCTCATAGAATAATAGATAAATAAGTTTTGCAATACCTAGTTATGCTTTTTACGAAACCATTTTATGTTAAAAATTCTGTAATTATAATAATGTAGATTAAATTATAAAAAAAAAACTAAATATCTAAAATAAGTTCTACACACCATTGTGTGTTTTTAATTTATTTTAGGAAGGTAAAAATAATGATAATGAAATAATTATGTGAATTTATTACTTGTTAACGGAACATCTGTTACAACAGATTGCTATTTTATTTAAATTGAATAGATATATAATTTAAATGGCCATATTTTTGCTACAAATTTTGTAATTTACGATGACCGAATGATACATTTTGTAACCAAGGTCTATTTTTATGGTTATGTATTTTATTTGTTACACATAAATGGAAAGGTCAATTTGGTTGACAGATTGGAGTATTTTTTTTTTTTTTATTTATTTTATTTTACATTTGAAGTCGTATTATCCTACGGATTACATTACAATACGGATGACAATTCCCATTGCTCACAAATTTTATAATTTGTTTTGTAGGTTGCAATTTTATGTTATTTATTTAGTCAAGTTTACAAAACTTTTGAAGGTACGTTTAAATAAATTAATGTTTTAGGTTTGTCTTCTTAGATATAGCTATAAAATTATCAAACATAGAAAAAGCATTAGTGCTACATGGAATCAGTGTTCAAAGTTCTACTGGCGGGCATAGGTCTTTTCTATCATAAGAGAATATTGCCCTTCCACGCCTGACCCGTTGGATTAGTGTAAGATTTTATTTCGAGACTTTTTCTATGCTGCGGATGTATATTGTATTGTTACTACAGTGGTATTTTATGAGACCTCGAGAATACAAAAGGATTATAAACTCATTTTCATATTTCCTGTATACATTCAGGATTTGAATTATATATATGTAATATAATTATAATTGTTTCAGTTCGTGGTATTCTCTGCCCTTGTAGTGGTTGCTATTGCTGCTCCACAGTTTCAGCAACCCTATCAGCCCCAACAGCAGTATGCCCAAAATCAAGTGATACCAATCATTAACCAAAGGACTGATGTTGGCATAAACGGAAATTATGAATACAGGTAATTAGTATTACTACAAATACCATGTTCAAATTTACGAAGTTAAGAGTAATTGAAATATTATGATACATTTTGCCAATACTTTTAATAGTTGTAGTATCGCTTTATTATATTCTACGTGGCCACGGCACTGTAGAAGGTGCGGATTTTCTTTCAACTTCAATTGAATTTAACTATTTCATAAAGTAAGTTTGGAAAATTTTCAAACTAGATAATTTAAGTATCAATGTTTATTATTTTATAAAGTGCTGATATTTTAGTATAATACTAAATTCTGTAATAATTGTCCTCACTTATATACTTTTTGGGAACGTCCTCATTTTAAAACAGTTTATATAATTATGTTATTATGTGATATCTACATAGTCATGATTATTTATAATTTTGTCGTATTTAAATTTAACAGACATACTGAAATGCAATCTACATTACAATATATGTATAAAATAAGAATGCCACTAAAAATGTTGACATATTAATTTAACTTTTAATGTGTCATATAATGTATTCTGTAATTTAAAAACAAAAGATTACCGAGAACACAAATAATATGAGACTGAAACTTTAGCAATTCATCAAAGATTAACATCTGATCTTTGCAGGCGTAAGCTTACCGCCCCAGGCTATCTTCTTATTTGATAATGACGCCATTTATAATCATACACTGCGTTTATATTTACTTAAACAATGCAACAAGCATGATAATAATATAAATTATTAGCAATGTGTCTATATTGAAGATTGGCAATTTATTCTTAGAAACCTAGTGGCGGTTTGTTTTTACATTAAAAAAAATGGCAATAGCTATATATATATATATATATATATATATATATATATATATATATATATATATATATATATATATATATATATATATATATATATATATATATATATATATATATATATATATATATATATATATCTTATAGATCTAAAGTAAAGACAAAATAATTCTTGTTTTAGTTACGAAACTGGTAACGGTATTTATGCTCAAGAGCGAGGTTATCTGAAGAATGCTGGTGTAAAGGACGCTGAAGCTCAAGTCGCAGAGGGTTCTGTCAGTTACACATCTCCTGAGGGTGTTCCTATTCAGCTCACATACGTCGCTGATGAGAACGGTATGTATACTTTAAATATTTTAATATATATACTAATAACTAAGGTATCACTGGCTTAACACAGCTCAGCCCAAATAGCTAAATATAAAAGTTTTAAATTTGAAAAGGCATTCATTTAATATTGTAAGGTTTATTTTAAAATGTACTTTTGAAATTTTACTCCTTACAAACATCAAAATATAATTATATAAACTTACGGCGGATTATCAATTAATTGAGAGCATAGTTGATACTAAAATTAAAATTGCTGTTCAAATGCCAAAGAACAATTCTTTTACGTAGAATGAAACAAACTATAACAGAAAGCAAGTAGTTGCAAAACAATCAACGAAACAATGGATTTTTGCATAATTTGCTCGATGATAGATTAGATAGATTTTTTGAAAGTCTGCTATGCAAAATTCGTGACGTACGATTCGGTTAATATGCTACAGCTTTTTTTAAAGAAAAAACTATCTAATTTCGTGGAAAAAATAGATAAAGTTGGTTATTGATGTAAACAGTTTTCTATAACAGTTTATGGATGAGTTTCAGTAGTAAAATTAACAATGAATCGGTGAAATAACAATAATGATGATTATGATAATAGAAATGAAATTAATATTTTGTTCCTAGGTTTCCGTCCTGAGGGTGCTCATCTTCCTACACCTCCACCAATCCCAGAGGCAATTGCTCGTGCTCTCCAGTACATCCAGTCACAGCCTCAACAACAGTATCAATCACAACAGTATCAACCCCAGCAGCGACAGCCTTCCAACTTCTTTGGTTAAAGCGTGACCTCTCTCGGTTTTAGCTTAGTTCGGATATTTGTATCAATTACACTGATGAATAGGAGTACAAATACAATGTAATATTGAACTGATGTAATTAGTGTAAGTACGAATATCGATCAATAACTGTGATTATATGTAATAATAAACAAGAGATTAATAAATACAAGTATTACATTTATATTGTAATAGTATAATTGCATTTGGTTCCCCCACCCCATCCCCATTCCTATATATAATAAAAAACAAAAGTAATAAAATACAATGATGAAGGAAAAAGGAATGTTACGTATGTAAATATTTGGTGTATATACTCGTAAGTTCAAATGACAATATTATAATTTATAGCATCGGTAATACCTGCGTGTATTAGGATAAGAAGTAGTCAATATATAACTATTGGATACAGTCCACTTGTCTCAAATTTTGTTAAACCTGTTTAGATATTAAAGTATAATTGGATGAATAATATTTCCAAACTTTCATGTTTATAATACGAGAGTAAGAGCGGGATTAAAAAAAGAATACTGAAAAATATCATTTAAATTACTAAACAGTGAGCAAAACACAACAAACGGCATTTTTGCGGAAAAAACATTTGAGATGCTCTCGACTCTCAACTGCCTAAACAATTGTAATTTATAATTATCTATAATAAATTATAATTGAAGTGCTAAAAAATATGTAAGACATTTTCTTCCAATCATGGTTAAGTAAAGATCAAGTTTTTTTTTTCAAGATTAACTTCGCCTACCAAGCAAGTGTTATGTGGATACCGATATCCATATATTGGACACACCAAACACAACAAACGGCATTTTTGCGGAAAAAACATTTGAGATGCTCTCGACTCTCAACTACCTAAACAATTGTAATTTATAATCATCTAAAATAAATTATAATTGAAGCGCTAAAAAATATGTAAGACATTTTCTTCCAATCATGGTTAAGTAAAGATCAAGTTTTTTTTTTTCAAGATTAACTTCGCCTACCAAGCAATTGTTATGTGGATACCGATATTCATATATTGGATTTATCTAGACATTGATGGCGGAAAAAAAATCATGGTTATCACTCATTTCGATATCAGTCGGATAAAAGTCTGTTATCTAATATTATTTTTTGAATAACAGACTTTTAACACATTCGTCGTTGGACCAATATGTAGATATTGAATCTAAAATATATATATATATATATATATATATATATATATATATATATATATATATATATATATATATATATATATATATATATATATATATATATATATATATATATATATATATATATATATATATATATATATAATACCTATGCATAGCGTTTACAGTTTTGCGGTGTTCATAGTAGTTCATATTATACACGAACAAACATAAACACATCACTAAATAATAAATTAATAAGTAAGTATAAATAAATTTATGCAACTTTGAATAGCAAACAAGCTGACGGTCCACCTGATGGAAAGTGGTAATCGTCGCCTATAGACATGAGCAGTACCATGGACATAACAGAGTATACTGTTTCGCCCATGATAACCCCCATGCGTTGCCATTCCTGAGGACTCAGGTGTTATTATATTAGTGTATAAAATTCTTATAGCGAATTAAACTGTTAGTCATGCAATAAAGTTCTTATAAGACCTGGTACGACTTAAATTTTAGAACTCGGTTATAAAATAGAACTTAAAAACTTAAGAAGTAAAGAAAGAGATAGTTATCAACTTTATGGACTCAGAGTTCAGAATAATTTTCCTTTAGTTTAAATAGTAAAATGCGTTTTCTAAATTTGTATCTAAAACTACTAATACGAGTACTAGTAGTAATTTTTACCTTCGACTTTATCTGCATTGCAGGGATAGATATAATCGTTTGCCTGTGTTCTTTATCCTATATAGAGCATGTCGATGTAATAATTGGTTAAGTCTTTATAGTGTCTAGAAGTAACATATACATAAATTCATATAATTTTTTTATGATACTTAGAATGGTATACAAGCTGGTTGCCCATCTGACGGAAAGCGGTAACCATCACATATAAACCTGAATAGCATCTCGGCCATAGCAAAATATATTGCAAGTTTTACCGAACCGTGCCACGATCTGACTAAAAACTATTATAAATTTAGTTCATATTAATTCATAAAATAATCGTTTCGATATAATATAGTAAGTTTAATAATAAAATCGATCAGAAATATTGCACATTGTTCATTTTTTATATTTTAATTGACAATAAATACATGCGTTGATAGAATTTGGACTGAATGTTCTTAAATTGGCGTATGTGATAAGTTCCATTGACAAATAGCATATTTAAAGGTTTAAATTTAAAAATATGTAATTCAAGAATTTGTTTTACAAAATTAATCCATCTCAATCATGACAAAAGTAATAGATATGGAACTAACGAGAGTAAATCTTATACAATTGCAAAATGACTTAGTAAAATCGGTGCTGAATCGTTCTTCTTTTATAAAATCCTAAAACAAGATATTTTCCTGGGTAGGTACAATTGAAAGTAAGGTTTAGGCATCATTATTTATCTGATAGATAAAAGTAATACACTAACACGTGTACTTATACATATTAAATTGAAGACATTTTGAAACCCGAAGAATGCAGTAGAATACAGAAAGCTGAAATTTGAAACAAGGTACCATATAAAAAATTGTGAAATTTTTATTTTATATAAAGTTAAAGAGAGTGTTTATTCTTTTTTGACCATATTTTATAATAATTTTATATGATACGAAAAGCGAACTTAATAATGAATTATTATTGTTAATATATATTTATATATACATATATGCATGCATATTATGTGTGTTACGGGAATTTTATAAATTTACATGTTATATATACTGACTATTATTCGACTTAATTCAGAGGTCAGGGTCAGTACAATGCCTATACATTTAAAAAATAATAATCTATCATTTCTTGTAAAAGAAAAAAATTGAAATAATAATTTATAATATAAAAAGAAATTGCGAAGCACACCTTGCTTTAATAATGTTTTTGCTGTCTGTTAATAATATTCTCAATATTAATTATTAAAATACTAAATTTTCTAGGTAATTCTAATAATTGTTTAATTCAACAGCGCCATCTACATTTCCTTCACATATATAATAAGATTCACAATAAATTGAATTCCGAAATCTTTGCAGTATTCTTTATACGTTGTCTTCCTCGTGTGTATTTCGCTAGATGGAGTTGTAACCTAAAACATTTTTATTTGTAAGAAACTTAATGACATCTTGGTTTTTTTAAATATACTCTTGAAATAAAAAAATGACCCAAAACGAAGTGTATTGGATCAATTTTAAACTTCGTTTCATTTTTTTTTAAAGTAAATATATCTGTATAGTCATATTTATTCATTGGATAAAATCTTTATTTTATCTAAATGATCATAGTCTATAAAATTTGACTATCTATTATTAACTAAATTGCCTGGACTTAAACTTCCAACATGTGTTTGATTTTTATGCATCTCATGGTTGAGAAGAATAGAAACAGAAGATGTCAGTAGAAAAAATAGTTATATTTTATTAGGTTGGAAAAAGTTATTTAGATAACCATATATGTCTAATTTTTGTCACCTCAATTGATATTTCTATTGCTCCCTTTGTTCGTTTCAACCGTCTTCTTTAACAATTTAAATCACTTCATTTTTACAAATTTTTATATGATTTAGATTATAAATTTATTTTATTTACAATAATTACAACCTAACTTTTATATATTGAGAAACACAAATACATTACGTACACACTTCGAAATATATATACTGCGAAAAAAAGACTACGGCTGAAATAAAAAGAATATAAGAACACTTAAAAATTTTACACTTTCGCATTACATTTTTCAAAATACGTTTTAACGTAGATTAAAGCAACTAAAATATATTTGTGTAGAAAACATAGTAGACATAAAAAAGGCCTTAAATTATTTCCATTTTTTTTTCTACTCCCTTCCCAAATTCTATAATATTAATCATAATCTAATTGTAGTTAGTCCATTTTTGGTCGGTGATATATATTACATTTTAGATTTATTATGTAGTTAGATTTTTGCAATTTCATTCGTATAAATATTTATAATATTACAATTTAAGCATTGTATATCTACCTGCCTATATTTAAGTAACAAAGTCATGTATACTCGTAAATAACAAATACACTACATGAAATATATCTACAATTAGAAACAAGCTACACTTCCTGTTAGAATCTGCAAGTAGTGGTAAATGATTTTTATATATTTTTGACACTTAGAATTATTTGGACTATCTCAATCATGCAATAAAAAATATTTTATTTCAGAGAAATTTTTTATACCAAAAAATAGCAAGTCACAAACATACAGCCTTTTTGTAATAAATGGTTAGTATTAGACTATGGACACCTGGAATACCAGGATTGTCACGTGCGTGTCGTCTCTGAAGAAATCTTGACACGCCCTTATTGAAAAACGTTGTATTGTATTCGCTAGGAGCATATAAATAAAAAAGACTTTTCAATTTGTCTGAAATTGGTATTTTTTGACTATGCATCTTCTTCATCAGTCTTTGACGTTGTGTAGATTTTATAATTATTTGTTAACAAAAAATTTTTACATTGATACTACTACAATTATTTATATGGATACAATATCAATTTTCTTACTAAAATGCTGTTGGCGTGGATGCTGTGATGGATGATCTCAGATTTCGACAATCTACCCAAAATAAATCGTATACCAATATCATTTATGTTGCTCAAATCACAAGTTGAACTTTGCGTGTTATTATGCAATTGTATTATTATGAGTTACAAGTATTATGTTGTACTAGCTATATTCGAGTTTTTAACAGAATTACTCGCGTGGTTATATGAAGTATTTACAAACTTACATTTATACTAACATACGAAACAAGAGATATGTGTACAGTCATGCTTGGCATCTTGACATCTTTTTGGACCTTTCTGCACCAAAGACACGTGCCTATGATGTGTGATCATTATCACCTGGCGATAGATGAATAAATGATACAATACTGTCCATCTAAGACACAAATAAATCATGGTGTACCTATAGAAGATTTATTGTTATAGTTTCTTAGCTACTATCTCCAACAATGTCAAAATGTAAACAATTGGTAGATCATGCCGAGGTTTTTCCAAGAGACTACAACATGGCTTTCTTCAAAATGGGGGTAAAGAGGTTACTTGAGGGTCGGCAACGCGCGCTTTATATCCCTGGTATTGCAGGTATTCATAAGCTACGGTAACCGTTTGTTGTTAACTTGTTTGCCACTTCAGTGGTATAAAAAATCATGTCTGTAGGCTATTGGTATTTTTTTTCCATAACGAAGAAATTCGCTTATTATTCACCATTCTAATTTATGCAATGACGGATAATGCGTACACATACTGTAGTTTTATAAATAAAAATAATAGATTTTTATAGAATAGACTCCGCTAACAATTATTATTATTGCTGGATATGACCATGACCAGTTCATATCTATCTGTATAAACACTGTAGGAAACCACAGACCTTTAAGGCCTAGTTTACATGACTATAATTTAAGTTCTGGTTCTACAAAAAAAAATCGATCGTGACAAACGTAGTATGAGCAACTCTATCAATTGGATGAAATTGACAATGATATGATCACATAATACGAAAATATATGTCAATTTGAGAACTTTTGAAGTCACTAGAAGTCAAGTATAATAGAATCTTTTAAATCGGTCAGTAAATTAGTAGGAAAGCTGTCGTCTGCACACATTTCTAAAGCATTTGTAGACAAGTGTGTTTGTAATGAAAATTGGACAAGTTTTTTTCTTTGTGATATACATAGCACACGTATGAAAGAAAAAATTGTTAATTCTTTTATGTATTTTGATATTTTTGTATATATATTCTTTAATCCCTTTTTTCTTGGTATATCTATCAATGTCTGTTGTTATTTGTGTGCTGTAAATAATACGAATAAATTATATATCTATCTATATACTAGCAACGTTTGCAACTTTATTCAAATGATTGGGATATGATGACGAAATGGTAAAAGTAGTCTATGTTCTTTTACATGCCAAATGTCACGTGTTGCCAAATTCTATGACAATATTTAATAAGCAAATTAATAAACAAGCAGATGATCATATTATAAATACCATTTTAAATAGGATTCAAACATGTTTAAATATTTTATTGTAACTAAGGAACAAACATGTATTTTATCCAATACCTATAATTTACTCATGCTTAGTTTTTAATTAAATAAATAACTAGTTTCCTACGAGGTAAGCAATATACCCGTCTTCGCATTTTTTAGTATTTTTTTTTTTCAACATTATGGATAATAAGCATATGCGCTTGATTCTATTCAGATATATTTTATATAAAGACAATATCCGTGTTAATAAACTTTATCCAGGTTGTGACGGAGTAACTTTGTTATAATTATTTTTTTCATTTTTATCAGTGTCTTTAGGGAGAAATAAGGAAATACTACAACAACAAAACAAGTGCAAGAGAAGGAAAATTGTAAATGAAATGTTGAAATAAACCTCTAGATCTATATGATAATAGGAGGCTGATATTATCCCCATAGATCATTACTATGAAACATCCATTTATGGAAGATAAAAACGATAAAATTAGTTATTCCTGTATAATAAGCTTCATAATTTTTATTTATTACTTGTTTTTACTCGAGACTTCATCTACGTGACCGAAATACATCCGCTAACCAACATAAAAAGTAACCTGTAATCTTCTCCATACCATATAATACCTGTATACTAAATTTAATTGTGAATAGTTAAGCTGTTAAGGTACCAAAAGGTCACAAACAAACTTTCTTTCACATTCACAATATTAGGAAGAATCTTTAAGTTTTAAAATTCGGAAATTGAAAAAATTTATATCTCAAAACATAATACGAATCCGCTCTCTCTGCTGGCCAAGTTCATGAAGTTCAAATTATTTTTTTTCTTCCCATACCATCCATTTCTAGATCAGTTAGCTAAGATAGCGATCATCATCATCTGGTTTTATCGAGAACCAATTTCAAAGACTTTTGATTTAGGAATCATAATTTGACCAAGTAGTTTACTCTTTATCTTCCATTGGATAATAAATTGCAGAAAGCTAATTTTTTTTATACAACTTAGAATGGCAAACAAGTTGATGGCACACCTGATGGAAGGTAGTAACCTATAGACATGAGCAGTACCATGGACATAACAGAGTATACTGTTTCGCCCATGATACCCTCATGCGTTGCCATTCCTGAAGACTCAGATGTTATTCCTCTGTACCCTGTAAATTTACGTCATATCCCACCCTTCAAACCGAAACACAGCCAAGTACAAATTTTCAGAAGTTAAAGTTTTAAAACGAACATATTTTGAATTCGCTATATGAATACTGTTACAGAGTTCACCTGTTGTATATCTTTGTTGAAAATAATTTATAACACTGTAAGCTTTGTGTGTAATAAATTGATAAATATTTTTAGTTTAAAATTTCTTCACTACATATATCACAAAATATTTTACATGCAACGTGATCTAAGCGTAAGTTTGTAATTAAGATAATGGAGCGGTGCAACGCTTGAATAAGAGTAATCTGCCATATCATTTGTTGGTATCACGAAATACTTAAATAATGCAATAATCAGCAACATCGTCAGTGAAGTAATATATTTCATAGAGTTAAGGTGTCAGTGATATTTTTGAAGAAAATTATTAACACGTTATTTAATATTAATTTGCTCTCAAAATAACGTAATTATAGAAACAAAAATTTATAATTATAAACTGAAACACAATATAACATTCGGCTTTAATATTTATTATTCAAATAATATTGATAATACATAAAAGACAAGGTTTTTGTTTCTCATATAATATTATATATAAAAATATTTTTACTAAATCCAACTGATTTTATACTTTAAAAATGAATTCTGTATTAGTGATTAGTGTATTTTTTATATGTGTAGCGACAGCTGCATCTATATCAAAAGATACAGTTGCTGATACTATTGCATATTCTAACAACAATGATGGAAGTGGAAATTACTACTTTAGGTAAATATATTAAAAAATGTTTTAAAATTCGTTATCCTGCATGCAGGAATCTAATACATATTATTAGTTATTTAATAATTTTTAAAATGATAATTTCTTTTTCGTTAGATATTTCATAACTAGTAAAAACTGATATGTATTTTCAAGTGATTTGCACAACCAATTTTGCCTGTTGTGTACGATGATGTACAAAAGGAAATCCAATTTTTTTTAAATATTTACACCAATTAATCGTGGTAATTATTTTCATAATAAACAAAATTTATTCTTGTTTTAATATTAATTTATCTCCTTTAATTTTATCAAAAATTAAGTCATTATTTTCTTTTATAAAACAAAATCCTTTTTGATATCTCCCTACAGATCCAAATACATATAATTTTGCTCTTTTATTATATTGTGGTTATTAAATAATATAATATCGTGGTTTATTAAAAATGAATTTTCATACTTATAAAATATTTTTCTTTATCAGTTTTAAAACATCCAACGGAATATCACGTGAAGAATCCGGAGAAGTACGTAATTCGGGACAAAATAATCAATTTATTTTCATCAGAGGATTTTATACATATACAGATCCTGATGGCCAAGAAGTAAAAGTTAATTATATAGCTGATGATAATGGATATCAGATCGTGTCTTCGCCTGATACCGCAGTTCCGGATGTAAGTGCAAAAAATTATTCTACGTTTAGTTTCATGTATACTTTAAGTATAATGAAGGTTGACTAAAAATTCTTAACCCAATATGTAGAAATACGCCACCAAGAGAGTAAACAATAGTAGATTATGTGAAACTAAAGACTTTATCAAAAAGAAAGGACTTGTTAATATATTGAAGATATCCTCGTTGAGTCTATAGCCAATAAAATGGAAAGAGGTATTAAAAAGAGATCAAATCAAAAGTAGATACTCAGAATCGATGTATATACTCGTACCTAGGTACCTATAAAGTAGTATAACATCATAGAAGCTGGTATCCTGCAGTAGTTATCCGCCAAATTCAAATGGAAAAGGGTACCTATATGAAATATAAATTAAAGGAATTATACATTTACTCATTTAAAACCTATAATTGTTTTTATTGTTCCAGAAAATACCTATATTAGGTTTACCCGCTGGTGTGACTTCAACATTACTCGGAGGATAATAAATTATGTTATGCCTGTATAAGCTGTTACCCATTCACAGCTTCGCGTTCAGTTGATTTTATTACCCCAGACGAAAGAACTGATTGGCCGGTATAAAAAGTAGCGTAATGTTTTTCGTATGAAATATATTATACTATATAGTAATTATGTGTTGTTATTTCAAATTTTGTGTTGTTTATTTAAATCGATAAGCCGGTAACAGATAATAAACACACTTTTACTTTAAAAAAATCTCACTTTTATTGTATATTATAAAACATATACAATTTTTTATTAAAAGTGAAAACTATTTTTTTAAGATAATTTATAAAATAGTTAAATAGACTCATTACAATGTTCTTATCTTTCAGATTTTATTGTAATACCTTTCACTTGAGAAAGATTGCACAAATGCACCTGGCTTGGATACTTCTTTCTCACTCGTATGTCTCTCACTAAGTAGCTGTGCAACAGTACATTTATTTTATTTTAATAAAGCACACATAACAAGTTGTAACCATGTTAGGTTTATATATAGGTAATAATAGTGTTACTAAGTTACAATTCAAAAACATGTGTACACAACGTAACATTTTTAGGGCTGATTATAATATTACAATATATAGAGGCATAGGATTTTATTCGTCATGAATTGTATGAGTGGTACCATGGTCATCACAGTGTCATCACCAAGCGAGCAACCCCATGTGGGTTGCTCGCTTGGTTGTTATTGTACGCTATAATATTCCGTAATACCTGTATGGTGTAAATTTTCAATCATTTTATGCATCAGATTGAGTTGTGGGTTAAGTTTTGTTGTTATTTGAATTTAACCATTCGTTTTATGTATAGTGCAATCTACTGTACATAAAATCAATATTAACTAATATTAATGTTTACCAAAAATCTTTTCATGAAGTGAACATAACTTTATCATAGTTATATATATTATTGATCACTATATCAATATTGTACAATATTTAATATTTTAATATTTAAAATATATAGATAAATAATAATTTGGTGTCCCAATTAAGCACGAGTCGAATAGTTATAGCATTTAAAACTGCTAATCATTTTGTAAATTAATTTTATTAGTATTGAAATGTTGTCAAAATGGAAGTAGATTTTGTTTAGAAATAACATAATTAGAATATATGTATATATATATATATATATATATATATATATATATATATATATATGAATATATGTATATGTATATATATATATATATGAATATATGTATATATATATATATATATATATATATATATATATATATATATATATATATATATATATATATATTATATATATTGTATATATGGATATTTATTTATATAAAATTGACTCCTGAGTTAATGTTGTTACAATATAAGCAGATGAAAAAATATTATCATTTTTATGTAAAAAATAACATTCGTGTTAATTTGTTCACAATGTATCATTATATTGTTGCCGGATTAAAATGTCATTGACATTTTCATGGACAAGTCCTTGACGTCGCATTGTTATATAAGGAATGAAGTCCAGACTTGATGTTCTCGAGGAACTGGATATAAGGTGTGGACAGCTGTCGTGTAGACACAGTGTGAACCCGTAGTCATTGGTGAGAATCATTAACAATAATGGTGAGTAGAAAAACTGGTTTGAGACAAAATTTAAACTTGTTATACAACTATTGGATGTCTAGGATACCGTTTATGTGCCTAGGTATCGTTAACAGGATTAGAAGGCTTCACCAATTTTGAGCTATACATCCATTTTTGCTTATAGATCTTATAATAAAATCACTTCTAGCTAGCCGATTTACATTCCCATTAAATTACATTAAACACAGATTTTATTATCTTAAAAAAGAAGCCTATTTTTAATGGCATGCCATGTAATTGCTTCTTCAACAATTTTGAACTAAATGTCATAGATATTATTTTGCTTTGAATTCAGTATCATTTAATAATAGGTATAAAATATTTTTAAAATCTGTAAATATGCTTGTAGACACAAAATGCAACTTCAATATTTTTTCTAAATATTATATCAGTTGATTTCAGATAATGTTAGCTAATAATTAATTATTAACTAATATGCAGTATTTTGTTTGTTACAGAGAGAAATCATGGCAAATTATTGTACCGTCGTCGTCACTTTATTAATTCTCGTTAGTTTGCCGAAAATTTACACTAGTGAAATAAGCAAGATAATATTTAACACGAATGGATATGAAACTTATAGTTTTGAGTAAGTAGGTATAATATTTTTTATAAATATTTTGTCATTTACTAAATGTAATCCATATTACACATAGTTAATGCTGTAGAGGGTCACAGTGAAAGATAATATTCTTTAAAACAACAATATATATAATACGTATAGATACAAGACAAGACAACCATTTGAATAGAAACAAAAAACGTGTAGAAAAATAATATCAACATATATATGTGGCCAGACTTAAATTTACATTACGGCCACAAAGAAGTTTCAATACGCCCCTTTAAATTTAAGTCTCAGTTAAAAGAAAACAATTATTAACTGATGGGTTTAATTCCCATTTTGTCCACACACGCATAATGTTTAGAAATAGGTAGCGGTTTCGTCAATATATCCGCTACCATCGAATCAGTGGGTACATGTCTCACTTCAATATCACGACTGTCCCTTAACACGGTCCTGATGAAATGATATTTAATATCAATATGCTTACTGCGAGCATGGTATACGGGGTCTTGCGCAAGAAACAGCGCCCCTTGGTTATCGGCGTGTAAAGTTGTGTGTACGTACCTAAGTTGTCCAATTTCGCCTAATAAACTATTAAGATAAACGGCTTCTTTCAGCGCTTCAGACAAACTCACATACTCAGCCTCACATGTCGACTGCGCAACCATCCTTTGTTTTTGTGATTTCCAACAAATACTCGCACCACCTAAAATGAAAACATAACCAGAAAATGAACGCCTATCCAATAAACAGTTACCCCAGTCTGCGTCTGAAAATCCATATAGAGACTTACTTGTCTTCCTATATATTAAACCGAAATTTTGTGTTTTCTTCAAGTAACGAAGAATTCTCTTCGCTGCTTTCCAGTGACACGTTTCAGGGCTATTTGTGAATTGAGCAAGCTTAGCAACGGAATTCGATATATCAGGCCTCGTACCTACGCTCAAGTACATCAAGCAACCAATAATCTCTTTGTACGGCCACTTAGCTTTAAACACTTCATCTTCTTGTTTATATTTTTCTGGCTCTTTACCCATAGCCTTCAAAGAATTTATTTCCATCGGTGTTGAACATGGATTGCAACTTTTCATACCGAATTTCTCTAAAAGGTCGGAAATATATTTTTGTTGTGACAAAACAATGACACTGTCTTTTTGTTTCACGTCAATTCCCAAAACATATCGTGCCAGACCGTGATCTTTTAATTCAAACTCTTTAGACAGTTCTTTCTTAAAATTATTAATGCAATCTATTTGTTCAGATGCGACCAAAATATCGTCCACATACACTAACACAAATAAATTACATTTATTTACCTTTTTAAAATATAAACATGGCTCATTCAAACTTTGTTTCAACCCCATACTTCTTAGTTTTTCATCAAGTCTGATATTCCATTGCCGACCTGCTTGCTTTAGGCCATATAAAGATTTTTTTAACAAACAAGTATCGCATCCAGCATTTAAATTGTTTAACATACACTTAGCTCGTTCTACGACTGTTTGATCTTCGTCATTCTCCACAAGTTTTAACAAACACTCTTTCAATAACTTAGGGACCTCCATGTATATCTCTTCATCCAAGAATCCATTTAAATAAGCTGTATTAATATCTAAATGGTGTATTTCCATATTTAACTCAACTGCTAACGCCGACAGTAATCGAACTGTATCCAATCGCGCAACGGGCGCGAAAGTCTTGTAATAATCAACCCCAAAACGCTGACTAAAGCCTTGTGCAACAAGTCTAGCCTTTTTCTTAGTCGTCTTATCGACATTTAATTTCGTCGTCAATACATATCGACATCCAACTATATTTCTATCTGTTGGTCTTCTTATAATTTCTAACGTATCTTTCTGGACTAAGCTTCTAATTTCTGAAAGTATCGCTTTCTCCCATTCTTCTCGATCCTTGCTTTGAAAAACATCTTCCAAAGTCATTTGTGCCGTCCCCACGAAATCAACAAATTCGTTAACAGGAACTTCCTCTATATCAACATCTGCTTCATTTTGTTGCTGTTGTTGCTGCTCAACTTCGACCATTTTATAAATTTTCTTTGGGCGCCCTACTTGACCAGTTCGCTGTAATTTTGGTCGACCAGAGCTCCGTTTCAGTATTGAACGTCCGGAATCATCACTACTGGTTATCCGATCCGTCTCAGGATTTGGTTCAATAATGGACTGCAACTGGCTATCTTCCTCCTGTGGTTTGTTACCAATACGTTTTTCTATCATTTCTACTTGTATATCTGTCTGTGGCACCTCATTTTCAGGCAAGCATTCTTTACAATCCCTAGAGGTAGAAGGTTGAATTTCAAAATCGATAAATTTTTTACTAATGTTATCCATCAGCTTCTCTTCCTGCCCTAAAGACCTATTCTCTGAAACTGCGTCTTCATGAAATTTCACGTCCCTTGCAACTACACATTTCTTTTCCTGTGGTAACCATACTCTAAATCCCTTTGATGTTCTTGAATAACCTACAAAAATTCCAGGTATACCACGAGCGGCAAACTTATCCTTATTTTGATCTTTGTTTAAAATGTACACGTTACTTCCAAACTTGCGCATGTAATTAATTTTAATTGGTCTCTCATGCCATTTTTCATAGGGGATGTCTCCCCCTAAACTGCTGGTAGGACAACGATTTCTTATGTAACAAGCTGTGTCGACAGCTTCTGCCCAGAAACCTGTGGATAATCCCGAAGAAAGTAACATACAACGCGCCATTTCAACGATTGTACGATTCATCCTCTCAGCGATCCCGTTCTGCTGAGGGGTACGAGGCACTGTTAATCTCCTCGAAATCCCTTCTTGGTTTAGGAAATCGTCAAATTCCCTGTTACAATATTCGCCACCTCGATCACTTTGTAAATATTTTATTTTACAACCCATAAGATTCTCAACTTTGCTCTTATATAATTTAAAAGCCTCTAGAGCCTTATTTTTTGCACTCAGAAAATATACCTCGCACCAACGTGTACAGTCATCAATAAAAGTAATGAAATACTTTGAGCCTACTTTTGACTGTACTCTCATTGGACCGACTATATCAGTGTATACAATCCTTAATTTCTCGTTGCAAGGTCCTTCAGTAACCGGAAAGGGTAACATGGACATTTTACCTTTCATACATATATCACAATCATGTAAATTTTGTAACTCCTTAACATTTACATTCACACTACATTTATTTAAAAGTTTACATACATCCTTTCCATTTAGATGTCCTAAACGTTCGTGCCATAGATATAACTCATTTCTCTTACTCATTAAGCACGCACTCTCGAATTCACGTAAGTAATATAAATTCCCTTTGCGGTAACAAGTGAATTTAATTTCTCCGCTACTATTAGTGACATATGCAATATTTCGTTTAAATTTAACATCATAACCCATTTCAGTAATTTTTGCTACAGAAATTAAATTACTTCTTAAGTCAGGTACGTACAGAGTATCATGAAATTCTATTTCATTTACAGAGTTACCATTACACGCCGATAAACAAACGGTGCCCTTACCTTTAATGTCTGTGCTCAAGTTAGTGGCTAACTTTAACTTTTCGGTCGCGTCGGTCAGAAATTGAAATTTGCGCGGATTGTTACAGAGATGAGACGTACACCCACTGTCTAATATCCAATCATCTTTCTGCATTATGTTTACAGCATTACATTCATCTGAACCTGAAACATTGGATAACATTAGACTAGAATTCTTAAAATTATCTTCCGCAAAATTTCCCTTATAACCTTGCGATATTATGGACTGTATATTGATGTATATGTTGTAATCAAACAATGGGTTTAAAAGGAAAATAACTATAATACAGAAAACTACGAAATATAGACTACGACAGCAAAGAGCAAAAGTGACAATTGGTGGAAACAAAAGTATAAAAATACAATAAAAATAAAATCTTTAAAAATAACTAAGGAGTTCGCAACATTACCGACCCCTGGTGCAGAAATGCACAAATTCGATAGCAAACCAGGTTAAACAAAAAAATGAAAACTTAGGGGTTTAACCTGACTAACTTTTTGGAAGGTCGGCGAAGCAAACCGCCTGCTGTCGCTACGTCCACCACCCTAACAACGCCATCGTTGCCTGGGAAAGTTGCTGTGACACGTCCACGGGGCCACGTTCCTCTTGGAAGATTCTCGTCTACGATCACAACCAAATCGCCAATGTTCAAATTACGATCTCTTCGACCGTTTAGACGAGGCTGCATAGTAGGTAATATTTCTTTCACCCACCGATTCCAAAAGTGATCAGCCAGACGAAGCGCCTTCTTCCAATCCGCTCTTCGGACTAAATCAGTATCATCTAACACTCCGGCTGTCATCTGATTGGAAGATGAACCGATCAGAAAGTGAAATGGCGTTAAAGTTTCCTCGCTATCGGATTCAACCGAGACATAAGTAAGAGGTCGTGAGTTAACAATTGCTTCGGCTTCAGTCAACAACGTAAGTAGTACCTCCTCTTTAGGTGACCTTTCATGTAGTGTAGCTTTTAATGCAACTTTCACACAGCGAATAAGTCTCTCCCAACAACCTCCAAAAAAAGGCGCAGCAGCTGGGACGAAGCTCCACTTTATGCCTCTATTGGCAGCAAAATCTGGAACCGCAGGTTGGTAAAATTCTCTTAATAAGCGATTGGCTCCTACAAAGTTTGTGCCATTATCGGAGTAAATTGTTTCAGGCGTGCCTCTTCTTGCTATAAATCTCCGTATGCTCATAATAGCTGAATCAGCAGAGAGGTTGTGGACAAGCTCTAAATGGACAGCTCTAGACGTCAGGCAAGTAAATAGCGCAACATAGCGCTTGTCATGTCTTCGACCAACAGTGACGTTAATTGGTCCGAAGTAATCCAATCCCGTGAAAGTAAATGGACGACGATGGTGAGCAAGCCGGTGTGGAGGAAGATTTCCGGTCACTGGATTCAGTGGTTTAGTTTTTCTAATGCGACAGAAGTAACATTGATAAGCCACGCTTCGTACGGTGTTGCGCATGTGAAGTAACCAATATTGTTGTCTGATTTCATTTATAACCGTTTCGTTATTAGCATGACCTGCCTTTCTGTGGAAATATTGAACGAGTAAGCGAACAACGGGATGGTGACCATCTAAGAGTATGGGAAATCTTACATCAGTGTCAACATTTTGTACGGCCTTAATCCTACCATACAGTCGTAAAAGGTTATCTTCTCCCATCATTGGCGACAATTTGCTGAGGCGACTCGATTTTGCGATTGGTTGTGATCTCGTAATGCACTGGATCTCTTCTCTAAAACTGTCTTGTTGAACACGTTGCAAGACATGTCGTTCTGCGGCTTTCATTAGTTCTGCTGTCAAAGATATTAAAGTGGTGGACGCAGAAGAATTACGATAACGAGTGTAGATAAAGTTTTTAGTGCCAGAAATAGATCGATCCAAAAGTGAACGAAATTTTGAAACAACCTGCAAAACGCGAGCAGTGACGCGAAGTAATCGGAGCCAGTCACTGAATCGAGTAAAGTCAGCAATAATTAACACATGAACAGCTAATGGATCCAACTGCTGTCTGCGTTCCTCTTGAACCATGGGCTGACCAGCTGGTTCAATAGGCCAATCTTTCGGGGAACCAAGAAGAAATGGGGGTCCCGTAAACCAACGGTGGTTTGAATTCAAATTAAGGGGTTTCGTGCGTGTGGCATCATCAGCAACGTTCAAGCTAGTTGGAACCCATCTCCAATCCTGAATACGAGAATTCTCAGAAATTTCACCGATTCGATGGGCTACAAATGGCTTGAATGAACGCGCGTCGCTTCTAAGCCAACTAAGAACAGTTAATGAATCCGTCCATAAAACTGTACGGATGGGTTTCTTTTTATGAGATTCCTTGATGGTCACAGCAAGGCGTGAAGCAATCAAAGCAGCTTGTAATTCTAACCGCGGAATTGAAGTTGGTTTTAAAGGTGAAACTCTTGTTTTACTAGCGATGAGAGCGAGCTTGACACAACCATCTGGATACAAAAATCTCCAATAAGCCACACACGCATAAGCAAGCTCGCTTGCATCTGCAAATACATGTAACTCCCTATGCAGAGGTTCACCATTTTGTTTAGCATACTAACGTGGAATTTTGATGGTTGATACATCAAAAAGTTCTTTAAACCATTCGGTCCACTTTGATACTTCTGAAGGAGAAAAGGGCGTATCCCAATCAATATTTGATCTCCACACGTCTTGGAGTAATATGCGACCTTTTCCTACAATTGGACCCAGCAAACCTAACGGGTCATAGACTTTCATAAGGTGTGATAATACCTTACGTTTGTTAAGATTGGTTCCCAAAGTAAAATTTTCCAAACCGGTCCTAAAACCTATAAGGTCTGTTGAGGGATCCCAAGAAACGCCTAATACTTTAATACTAGATGAAGTATTACCGAGTGGAACCTCCTCAGCGTGCGCGGCGCGAAGTTCCTCGGGAATTAGTCTCAACGCTTCTTTATTATTAGACAGCCAACCACGCATTTCGAAGCAAGCTTTACTATGGACAGTAACTATATCAAAAGCAAGCTGTGCGGCCTGATCCTCATTATCCAAACTACCAAGATAGTCGTCCATATAATGGTCATGTATAATTGCATCAACCGCTTCTGGATACCGATCTTGATAAAAAATTGCGTTTTTATTTTTGATATATAGAGCGATAAATGGACTAGAAGTAGCTCCAAAAATAACCGCACACATTCTATATTCTTTTAAAGGTGCATCTTTAATTGAATTGTCACGCCACAAGAAGCGTAAAGCATCTCTATCCTGCTCTCTAATGCGTATTTGAGGGAACATTTCTTTGATATCTGCCGTCAAAGCAATGCGACCTTCTCTAAATCTAAAAAGGATACCAACTAAATTTTCTAAAAGATCAGGTCCCTGAAGAAGAAGAGAATTCAATGAGACGCCTTGATTTGTAGCCGCTGCATCATGCACGACTCTAAGTTTACGCTTTTGTGGGTGATAAATCCCAAAATGTGGTAAGTACAGTCTATAATTTTGCGCAGAACTATTCTTATAATGTAAGGAATCAGAGGTACTAATACGCTTACAATTATAGTAAGTAATAGGCTTACATTCCTCTGCATACTCTTTAACTATCATATTATCTATGAATTTTCTATATGCTTCAGCAAAATCACGCTCACGATTCATTCGTCTTTCCAAAGTTAAGAAACGTGACATAGCTTGTGAATAGCTATCTGGAATTTGATTAATATTGTCACGCCAAGGAAGACCTACCTCAAATCTGCCAGTCGGTAATCGTTTGGCAGTAAATTCTAAAATCTCTAAGGCGCGTAAATCCTGTTTGCTATGTAATGTTTCACGTTTAGAAATACCTAATGAGTCTATTTTATATTGCTCTTTAACAAGGAGCTCTAATCGTTCATCGTCAGAAATATCTGTTTTATCTAAAAATTGACAATGATTAATAAATTCAATAGGTTTAGTTTTACTACAACTTATTCCATATACTGTCCAACCTAACAAAGTACGACAAGCCACAGGTTCATTGCGTTTTCCTATACGAACTTCTCGAGTTATTAAAAAATGCCAATCTTCGGCACCGATAAGTACGGTCGGTGTAGCATTATTATATGTCAAGAAATCAGCTAAATCACATAAATGACTATAAGATGTCAAAGTCTCTTTTGACAAGGATTGCGCATGTAAACTAAGTGACATCATAGCTCCAATATTTTAACGAGAGATATGCTCTTGAGAAAGGACTGTATATTTTATGAAATAATAAAACGGTCGCTGCTAGTGGTAGAGAAAAATATAATAATCAAATCGTGACATTGTCAGATATCAAAAAACAAAATAAAAATATAAAATTTAAAAATATTCTCTAAAAAGGTGCGTGGTCACAGTGAAAGATAATATTCTTTAGAACAACAATATATATATAATACGTGTAGATACAAGACAAGACAACCATTTGAATAGAAACAAAAAACGTGTAGAAAAATAATATCAACATATATATGTGGCCAGACTTAAATTTACATTACGGCCACAAAGAAGTTTCAATAAATGCCAAAATATTTCCTTATTTATTTAATAATACAATAACAGAGAGAAACCATGTAAGGTTTCTATTGGTTGCAATTGTAAGTTCCTTTGTAAATAAAATGTAATAAAAAAAAAATATTTCACGTTTACTAGAGTAACAATAATTTTTTTAACTTTTTTTTTCTTTTATCTTTATATCATAAATTTAGTTATATTATGTATGTATGTTATGTATTTATTTATACATTTAGATATATTAAACTATACTTTAATTAAGTTACACAAAAATTATAAGTTTGGAATATCAATAACATTTGTATTTTTTTATTTTATACATAATTTTAAGGATGCGATTTTTAAAATATTATCAAAAGAAAAATTATAATAATCAAAAATCATAAAGCTATTGTTTCATTGCCATTTACACCTTGTAGGAGTTTTAAGTTCTCTCCAAATAGTAAAACCACTTGTCAAACATATTCGTGCTTAATTAATATACCTACTTGATCTTCAAACACCTTTTGCTAGACAAGTATGCTTTAAACAATGAAACATGTTTTTAAATATTGCAGAAATATAAGTTTATGAATTTTACGTCAATTTATTTATATACATATTTTTTGTGAGTTTTAAAGTTTTTACCAATGTACTCACTAAAAATTAAAAAATCAAACATTATAATAATACAATATTGAAATAATAATAATAAAAATCTAATTATGTTATATAAAATAAATGTTATAAATAAATTCTGCGTACTCGTGCTTAATAACAATGTTCAACCATTTAAGCAAATAATTTACTAGGTTATTTTTTATAGATATGAAACATCAGATGGTGCATATAGAAGAGAAGATGGTGGTCTGAACTCTAACACTAAAGGGCTTGTAGTTCGCGGCGAGTATGGATATGTAGATAGTGGGGGACACCATTACTCTGTCCGCTATGTGGCTGACGTGAATGGATTCCAACCTCAAATTTATACGGACGATACAAGATATAATGACAGAAGAATTATTTAATAATAAAAATTATTATTATTTTGTTTATTACTAGTTTATTTGTAAAATATGTAAAATGGAAAAATTCTGCTGCGGATGTGTTAAAAAATTATTAAAAAAAAACTGTAGTCTCATGAACACAATGAACACAAGATGAATGAAATTGTATTTGAAATATTTCGATTCTTACTGCTTTCTACGGTTGAAACAGCATATTGGAATACAATTTTACTTTTCATATTGTCGCAAATAGCGATAAATTATGATTAATTGATTTAGGCTTATTTGATACTTTAATAAATTTTAGAACGACCTGAAACTCTTATAATGATGAGAGTAAGTCTAATGAGACTAACAATCATGACATCTTCGTTTAATTAAAATTCATGTGTCTCTTCATCATCGAATTTTGATAAAACAAAGACTAGTTGAGTGTCTTTAACCAACACACTTTGTCTTTTATACTGTTTACACATATCGTAGAATACTGACGGATCTATATATGTCATGTTTGTCAGATCCGTCAGTATTGTACGACTATGACGATATATTACGCTGTTCAACTGGTACGTAGGTAATAATATATTATAATATCAGTAGGTACATGATTTATCCAATGTACTAAAAAATGTTTGTGATTTCCTTCAAACTATGTTTGTGCTGACCAAACCAACACCATAAGGGGAGAAGGATTTGTTGGTAATGGATTCTAACAGCTCCATTACTAGCAATATATCCTATCAAAATCATCGTGCTTAATTTTTGTTGAATTCTTCACCATGGGCTAACTGACCCGTTTCCATCCTCACTTATCATTTATCACTGGTACCCCGTCAGCGTATACCGATAGCACAGGAGGGGTTACCATTCATTTCCACCTATTAAAAAAAAACCAACATCATACTTTATATTATTGACATAATAATTCGGTGACAGTTATACTTTTGTAGCACTTTATATTACAAAACATATAATACTAATATAATGTATCTATTAGTTATACATATTTCGTACAAAACAGCCTGATATAATGATCACTGCAATATAGCGCTACATATAAATTTACAGATATAATCAAGTAGGAGCGTATGTTATTGGTGATACAGTATTCCTTCAAAATAATAATTTACGAAATATAAATAGGCATTTATACTCAAAGCCGTAATACATTTGAATTTAGTCATAAAATTTAAACCGAGTCAGTTTAGTAGGAGTTAGTAACTATTGCGATTATTTAATCTTGTATTAAAAAAAAAAAAAAAATAACCTGATTTAATGATATATGATGTACATGATTTAATCGTATTATATTCCTGCTAAATACTATTATATATATATTGAATTCAAATTTCCATAATTATTTTCAGGGATATTTTTTTTTTATAATTCTTAATTATATCGTTATTTGTGAAGAAAATAGATAATATACATAGCGCCATCTAGTCTCAAACTGACTAGTTTATACAATAAATGGATCAGTCCTAAATAAAGTACTTAGTGTAAGTACATACTATATTACACGTAGAAAATAAAAACAGACATACTCATAAATATAAACGTTTGTACTGTGCGAAACTCGTAACCGCGATTATCTGAAAGGAAGACAATGTGTTATCTCTATATCTATTTTATATAAAAATACAGAGACAAAAATACAAATCTTATACTAAAATATTATATTTAGTCATTAATTTCTATGAATTTTTACTTATGTAACTACTATTTAAGTAAGTGAAGATAATATAAAAAAGATATATTATAATACAATAATAATATTTACTAAAAACTTAGATCACAATATGTACATGTTGCTTCTTAGAACAAGTGATAAGGTATTAAGTTTTTGAGACACCGTATAAGATACGTAAATACCAAGGCGACTTACTAGACGATAGATTAGTTGACCCTTAAAAGCAAAAGTCATTATATATTAAAAAGGTCTAAATAAAATTATATAAAATTCGTAAGTTCGTGAAAGATTCTATATTGAAATTCCTGGATCACAGATATAAATTTAATTTTTACCAAACAATCATATAAAATTTATAGATGTTAAAAATATGTAAATAATCCACAGGAGAGGCATTTAACGAGTCGAACTAAGGACTTGCATCCATGTTACTGTTTATACACATACACATATGTAGGTAATAGATATTAATTTTCTTTGGGCGAGCTACCTTTTGGCATTTTCAAAATCTTTAAACATTTATTTACTGATTTTCCCTTCATTTTTATAAATTAACCTAACAATGAAGCTGCTGCCGAAGGTGGCAACGCCCCTGGACCCTCTCCTTGTTCAGGCTGGTAACCATTCTCATCAGCAACGTATTTTACTACTCTTAATATACCATCGGGTGCAATGAACGAGTAAAATCCTCTGAGGACGACGTAGGCATTTTCAGTTCCTGCATTTCTAAGTTCACCTATTTGTTCATGCCGAGTTCCATCACTCTGTTCAAACCTGTAATTTTTTTTATTTTTTAGTATTTTAATTTCAATTTTAAATATTAATAACAAGACCTTAAAATATTACTGAAATTACTAGAACTTAAATATATTATTTATTATTATTACAAAATAACAATTTTTCCGTGTTCTACTCTTGTATAAATTAAAATATGATTTAGTAGTATATTTTTTGTACTTTTGTTTTAAAACTAATTTTAAATAATAAAAGAAAATATTTTAAAATACATGCTGATAAATTTAATTATCAGTTTTTTTTTTAATAAATAGACTAGATTTCAATATATGTTATATATTGCTGTTATAATAATGGTAAATTGAATTTAAGTAAATGTAATAGATACTTAACGAATCATATAGCTATTATAATTTAAATATGATCCTAATAAAAAAATATGAACATTTTAACATTAATGCTAATATTCTATAACAAACTTAGGTCTTGCTATTACATACAATAATTCAAGAAACATAAAAATCTCAGGAAAATATAATCGTCAGGTAGATTGTTAAAAATTAAAAAAGTAAAACAAAAAGAATAAAGTAATGAATAATAAAACAGGAGGTTAATGATCTTACGAAAATCTAAAATTGCCAAGTCCAGTGTTATCGTTCTCATATTTGACAAGGTCTGCTTGTTGTGCTGCTGTAAGTCCAACTATGGCAATGATACATACAAGGACCTGCAAAGTATAGATACGACCATATTAATTTATTATTTAACTATATTATTACAGTTATTGATGTCAGTTATGACTTTTAGTAAACTCATTTAGAATTAGATAAAAAAGAAGGGTGTGAAAGATATTCAATTAGATATTATAACAATGCGTGCGTTATCGTCTTTAATATGAAAGGAATATTTAACTTAGGAATGGAAATACACAAAGGTTGCTATAAACAGCACAATATTTATGATATATAGACACATATCTACGAACATACTATCATTTAATAGAGATGATTTTTTTTATTATTTTCTATATATCTATTATTATTTATCACTCCCCATTAGATGCACAACATGGGCCATCAGTTTCATTGCCATGCCTAGCATACATTCTAAATTTTATAGCTACTCGTACAAGTTATAAAAATTCATAACAGAGTACTAGAAACACTATATTACGACTGTTAAGATATTGCAAAATATTATTTATAACTTTATTAAAATATTATGTAGCAATTAATAATTATTAATAAATAAGAATAATCAATCATCATTATTTTTCAAGCCTAATTATCTCATAAAAGGTAATTCATGGAATAAAGCACAATATATTTTAAATAAACTAAAGCATAATATACCATTTTTAACCATCGTGATAATGTTACCCGAGTATACGTACATAATCTATATATTTCTCTTATTAGGAGAGACAAGTGGTCAATAATGATATATTAGTAAGTTAAGTATATAGTAATTCTTGTAACTTAGAATAGTAAACAAGCTGATGGTCCACCTGATGGAAAGTGGTAGCCGTCGCCTATAGACATGAACAGTACCATAGACATAATAGAGTATACGTTTCGTTCATGAAACCCCTCATGCGTTGCTATTTCTGAGGACTCAGGAATTAGGAGTTTTTACTGTTAAGATAATATAACTATTATAAAAGTTTAATATAATTGTTCTTTTAGTTAGGAAATTGTCACACCCACATATCAGTAACACAGTTTAAGTAACTTTTAAAGGACGCATTAGGTAATCGGCTGTAGGTCAAGATAAATAACCGAATACATCTATTTTAAAAGTTTGTGGACATGATAATATTTTATGGCATGTGGTTGAGTAATATTATAACAAAGAGTATTATTACAAAACTTTGTTGTAAATGGTTACTATATAATGTAGTAGCCATTTACGTAGTACATTTCATAGTACATACACATTTTCAATATTAAAAAAAAGTTTTAAATTAAACTTATATAATTCAAGAATTTAGGAGGTAACTTTTCGATTTGTCTATTGTCTTAAAGTACAAACAATTACAATGTGCATTTCTTTATACTGTAAAATAATAATCACTATTATCTTTATATAACAGTGTATACAGAGTTTTAATGTCTCTTTTCGAAATGTTAACATAGCGCAAAAGATTTAACTGCAATATTATTTTGAAAAGAACCTCTATATCAATATTATTTTGAGAAGAATATTATTTTGAGAAGAGCTCAGCACACCACGCAATTGTACAAATAATTGCAATATTATTTTGAAAAGAACCTCTATATCAATATTATTTTGAGAAGAATATTATTTTGAGAAGAGCTCAGCACACCACGCAATTGTACAAATAATTGCAATATTATTTTGAAAAGAACCTCTATATCAATATTATTTTGAGAAGAATATTATTTTGAAAAGAGCTCAGCACACCACGCAATTGTACAAATAATTGCAATATTATATTGAAAAGAACCTCTATATTAATATTATTTTGAGAAGAATATTATTTTGAGAAGAGCTCAGCACACCACGCAATTGTACAAATAAAACTTGATATTAGATTTTAGTAAAAACGTTTGAACTAAACCTACCTTAATATAATCAGAATATTTGTATAGAAATCGTAGCGTAGGAGTGCATATACATAATGCAAATAGTACGAGATCATTGTAAAACTGTGCTAAGTTATACTATGATAAGTACAACACGTATGAAATAAATATATTTTTCTATTGCAGATTTTAAATAAACTGACAAGTTACTTGAAAATTGATTACAGTGGTCAGTTTATTGGTTTTTTGTAAACATTATTATACTACTATACCAATAAGGTAGGACATATTCAGACAAATATCGTGCTGTTTTTACTAGCCTACTAGTCCATCTATGTTAAATAAAATTGTAAAATCAAAATACGATATATACGGCATTATGAACATTATATATTTTAATGTTTATGCCTTTTTTTACTAAGACTACTAATATTAATTTTATCAACATTGGAATCGCTATTTTTTACTGAGAAAAATTTACCATTAATTAATATTTTGATTGAATAAATTATTTAAAGAACAGTTTTAGCTTTATGAACTTTTAAAAAACACCAACTACTAGTAATTTCACAGAGATCTAAGTATATTTTAATGTGAAAAGTACTATATCTTTTGCATAGAATTGAAAATAATATTAAATTTATAAATGTAATAATAGTGTGCTGTGTTGTGACTTCTTGTTCATTATATCACTCACATATTATTATTCAAAATACTCCTACTTTATTCCATTGTTTTTAATAAAACGTTTTTATTATATATATGTTTTTATTTTTTATATTTATTATTTTAAATGAGATTGATGACGTTTTTGAGGGTACGTGAATTCTTCGAAAAGCTGCCGCTAACTCATAATTATGCATTTGCGTTTTGCTATTATTTTTTGGTATACAAGGACATAAAAGTCATGAAAATGCTCACTGTTAATTTTAAAAGTTTTTAAATTACCTTAATTTAGTCTAATAGCACTATGACAAGTAAACAAAACAGTAAGTAAATAAAACCACACATAGTTTAAGAAACCTAAGAACTCCAAGACCGCAGCATAATGTGCCATTAAAATAAAAAAAAAATATGAAGCATTTTATCACATAAACGTGTAGAACATAAAACGTACATAGAAAATTCCAATATATATTTTAATATATTTTAATACGTCAAATAACTATTTTAAAATTTAACGGAATTTATAAAACAGATTTCTTTTTCAATTTTCTAAATTTTTGTACATATTTAATTATTGTTGGTTTATTTTTCTAGATAATTATGCAATTATTTATTATATAATAATTTGAAAATTTTATACAATTATTTATACTAGGCAATAATTTAAAATTATATATACGCACCAGTTTGTTCATTTTGACGAGGTCGTGTGTTAACTGACGTCGAATAAAACAGTATGATGCGTTAAACCGCATTCTATCGTTTATATATAATTTGGAGAAACAGTTTAGTACAATTGTGGCGTTAAAACCTCAAAATTATTCGGTCTCATATACTGAAGTATTTAGATTGGTTATAGGATAATTACTATGTATTCAGCAAAATAACTTTATATAGTTTAGAAATGATAATTCGAAATTACATAAAGGAAGCTTAATACAAATCTTAATACTTTTTCCATTAAAACATTTATAGAATTAAAAATATAATGTCTATGCTGACTAAAATATATTTATAAAAAAATAACGAATTGCGTTTAAAATATGTTATACAAAAGTACAACTATCTTAAAACCTTTTTTTTACATTTAATATTTTATTAGAAATCAAAATATTTTATTAAAAAATAGTATTTCGATCAAGGTCAGTGTCAGTACCTTACCTACTTACCTTGATATAACATTTTTTTTTGATGGGTGAGAATGCAATAATATCCCCGCTTACGCCATCGGTATACGCTGGCGGGGTACCAGTGAAAGATGACAGATGAGGATGAAAGCAGGGATCTACCATGAAATGAAATTCCGAATTTTGGGACTCAATTTCGTGTTTCTGTTCATATCAAAATCGGTCTAGTCTAGCTTAATATTTCGTTCATCATAAATCCTGCCATAAAGGTCCAAAGGAATGATATTTTAACATTTTTATTATTTTAAAACTGTATGTATAATGTAATTTTAACATGAAATTAGTCTTTTGTTTGGCCTCGAATTTCAGAAAACATTTCATTGTAGGCCCTCTGGTCTGGTATTGTTTTCAGGGAGGAGGGTTCTCTCTTGGTGGAGGTCGAACTGATATATTGCTAGCAACGGGAATGGTATAAATTATTTATTAACAATCTCTTTTATGATATAGCATATGCTGTACCTTTATCATAGGCAGTTTTCAAACATATGAAAGGCAATATCAATATCATAATGTTAATTACTAAACCAGTTTTGATGAACTTCCAAAAATTATGTAGTAATATAAACTAAGTAGAATTTAATATAATTTTATAGGAAATTATCTCCCAAAACTTATTAATTTACATAATTTTAGAACTCCGTAATTTGGCAAACGCAAATTTATATAAATCTTTTATATATGTATATATCATAAAATACAATATATTGTATGTGTTATAATTTATAAGTCAATATAGGTACATATGTAATTGTGTATCTATAATAATTTCCAATTTTTCACTGCATAATTACATGTCTGTTTTGCCAAAGGTTGACTGGGAGAGAATACTATGTAGCATTAAGTTCGCCTTTTGTACCAGGCATCTTTTGTAATGTGGTCAATAAAGAATAAATAAAATAAATAAAAAAATCACGTATACTAAGACGCAAGAATATTAATTTTTAAATAATAATTCTAAAATATGAAAGATTTAACTGCTATCGTGACCCAGAGCATAATAAAAATTAATGGTTTCATCACTTTGAATACCTATTAAAGGGTCGTGTGATGTACGCGTTAAAAATAACTTCTATTTAGGTAACAATTCAATTTATTGATACTAGTTTTTACACATGACTTCATCCGTTACCATAACTGGTGAAATATATAGTAAATTTCATGAAGGCAGTTGCATCGTTAAAGCACCAAGAGGTAACAAACAAAACAAACTCATTTTCATAATATTACAGGAAGGACAGTATTGATGATACGATAATGTATTTTATCATAATTAAATTATCAGATACATCGTAATTAAACTATATTATTTAATTATAGTTAAATATAATTTTATTATGGAATTAGGTTATGAA